GTGTTGCAAGGTCCACACAAAGGAAAATATAGTATTAGATAATATGCTTCTTACACCAGACACCCAATTCGTTTTCCCTTCATCATCTAATTGCTTTAGGGCGATCGGTTAAAGTGTTCGCTCGTCACGCCGAAGACCCGGGTTCGATTCCCGACATGCGTACAATGTGTGAAGCCCATTTCTGGTGTCCCCCGCTGTAATATTGCTGGAATATTGCTTAAAGCGGCGTAAAACCATACTCACTCACTCTAATTGCTTTAGCATTTTGTAACATTGAAATGCGTACCTATGAGCTTCTATTTTTAAAATGTTATCCAATATATAACAGCACGCAGCTGGCTATGAACATATAAACTACAGCGACCAGTTTCACAAGGTACTGCCTCATTTGAAGCATATTTACCAATGTATAGGAATCGCTTAAAATACAAAGTATGAACTTTTTCAATGGATTAAAAAAAATTTAATATTTTCCTTAAATAATTTATAAACATTGCCTGAAATGCCTGAAGCGCTGAGGTCTTACACGTTTGTCGCCAGCGGGATTCGAACCCGCGAAGTCCACACGGAAGGCTAACGAATATAGTCATGTCCGTTTATGAACTGCGGCATATGTTTTATGCAATTTTTACACAGTACGTGTGATTTGGTGGCTTTTCGTTCAACTCAACGAACAGATGGAAACGGAATTACTATTATCTTGATCAGGGCTATGTTTGCTCATAAAAGGCCCATCAACATGGGCAAGTAATATTTACGTGATTGATAAATGTGCTCGAGTTGGTCTAAAATAAATGGTATACTTGCCCCGGGACATGCATTCCATAACCTTAATTGGCAAAGTGCGACGTGCACGTGTGAAAGTATCGGGAAACATATTTCACGTGCTTAACGCAGGGCCGACTCACACAGTGTTCTCACAGTTGAGCATAGAGTTCTTAAATATCTTTCAAAATACCTTTAACAAAACAAAGTTTTTTTAAACATTTTAGGTGCCATAAATGTTGGACATGGTTTAAGTTTGTTTGATCACTCGGACCCCAGTGTCTTATCATTGAAATGGTTAATGGCATAATCAGTACTTAAATTCTGATAACGACTTAATCCTTTTGCATGAAATACTACTCAAAGTTTGTGAAGGAACGCCACTTTAAAAGGGAACACGTCAAATTGTGTGCACCTGTTGAAATAGCCAAAAACAATTTTGCGTGAAGACATGTTAAAAAAAAAAGTCGGTTGTCACATATGCCACACAATGCCATAATCATCAGACAGATCACCCGTCAACATGAGAGTATCTGACCCAAACTGAAACGTCGAATAATCACGAAAACAAATTCATTGTCCAAAATCAAAAACAAAAGACAAAAAAACCCTTCTCAGTAGCCCGTACATGTCATCTTCCCGAGGCAAGAGAGTTAACTGACTATAAAAGTCCATGTTCCACCCTTGCCGAACTAGGCTCGTATTATGGAGTAAATAATTTTTTTACATTTTGGCTGGACTAACGAGTCTATGCATAGTCCAATCAAAATCGCGCACCGAAACCGAAATCCGGTTCGTAAACTGTCGTGCAGATTTCGGTCGATTGCAGGATTTGCAAAGCATGTGCACCGCCAACAGTTATGTTCCAAATCTTTTCATGTTTTTCATCAAGGTGCTCAGGTGATTTGATGCATTTCGCGATGTAAGACCCGTTTTATCACAATATAGATCTTGATTATCGGTCAGATCGTCCTGACTGGGCGCCACCATTTTGGGTGAAGCAAACGCAAGTGATACGAGAGGTGGAATCTCATTGGTCAATAGGAGAGGCTTAAAGGGGACATAAATAATAATAGCCACTGGTGGCGCTACGATCGAGCCCAGTAATTCCAGCCTAGTTCGGCAAGGGTGGAAACTGGACTTTTAAAGTCAGTTAACTCTTGCTTCGGGAAGATGGTAGATGTATGGAAGACCGCCTCCGTGGTCTTGTGGTAGAGCGTCCGCCCGGAGAGCGGAAGGTCCGGGTTTCGATTCCCGGCCGCGTCATACCAAAAGACGTTAAAAGATGGTACTTGTTGTTACCCTGTCTGGTGCTCGGCATTAAGGGGCTAAATCAAGGACTAGTCGGCTCGGAGTCAGTATACTGTGGCTGAGTGGGGGGTATTCATGTTAAACTGCATGGTATCTCAGTGGGCTAGCACTATACATCGGCATCGGTCTGGACTAGTACAAGCAGCCACACACACACACACACACACACACACACACACACACACACGTGCATGCACGTCGTTATATAAGCGTAATAATCTTAAACACGACGCCAAGTAGTCTTCAGCAACCCATGCGTGCCGTAAAAGGCGACTATGCTTGTCGTAAGAGGCGACTAACGGGATCGGGTGGTCAAGCTCGCTGGCTTGGTTGATGCATGTCATCGATCCCTATTGCGTGGATCGATACTCTTGATATCAATCACTGGATTGTCTGGTCCAGACTGGACTATTTACAGACCGCCATCACACAGCTGGAGTGAGTGAGTGTGTGAGTTTGGTTTAACGCCGCTTTTAACAGTATTCCAGTCATATCACGGCGTGTCAGCTTAATGTGGGAGGAAAGCCCGAAGTGATGCAGGTCTCAGATGTTTACCACTTCGGTGAAACCCACGAGCACGGGTATGGTGCTGACAAACCTAGAAACATAATCGGGGCGAACCGGGATTCGAACCCACAATCATAGGTTTCTGGCGTGCCCAAGGGACGCAACTCTCTCTGTCACAATTGGTACAAATACTATTAACAGCATCAATATATTTCGATTCACAACACATATTTACATTGAAATTATGCAATGAGCTACTAAAGTTACAAAAATATCTTTAAATGACTTCTCTGGTGAGACAGAGAAATACATTTCCTGTTGAATATGTGACTTTAATTTATCATAATTGCTGAGATAATGCGAAGATAAAACAGTTTCGTACCAGTTGTGTGCAAATATATCTTTCACTCGCGTGGCGGTCGGGTAGCCTAGTGGTTAAAGCGTTCGCCTGTCACGCCGAAGACCCGTGGTGTCCCCCGCCGTGATATTGCTGGAATATTGCTAAAAGCGGCGTAAAACCTCACTCACTCACTCACTCACTCACTCACTCACTCACTCACTCACTCACTCACTGATTACATATTCCCATAAACACTTGAATGTTACCAATTTCCTGTGCAATCCACTAAAAAGAAAATCCATATGTAAATAATAAATTTTATACTTCAGAAATAGTGAGTGAGTGAGTGAGTTTGGTTTTACGCCGCGTTTAGCAATATTCCAGCAATATCACGGCAGGGGACACCAGAAATGGGCTTCACAGATGGTACCCATGTCGGAAATCGAACCCGGGTCTTCGGCGTGACGAGCGAACGCTTTAACCACTAGGCTACCCGACCGCCCCAGAAACAGTGACAAGTTTTTTAAGTATAATATAATATATATATATATATATATTAGATATTGTGGCTATGTAATTAACCTCGTTGTATTCCAGACACATTTGTCCTATGAATAATTAACGTATCATGTACATAGTGAACAGTTTACTAGAGCTAGCAGCTGTGGGAGCCACCACGCCTTTGGATAGGCCAGTCACAGCGCCACAGGTATGAATGTGCCAAATGCACTTATATTTGATATCATTGTGCTAGACTTTAAGGCGGATTTAATACTGATAAACATATTTTACACGAATGAAGCAAGAAAGGCAAGAAAACGCTATCAACATGTTTGTATAATTTGAACATTTATACTTCATATTTTACGACATTTTTAGTGTTAGCCTTGGTTCTTCTCCTTCCACATAGAAATGGTTTAAATTATATGCATTACCCTCCTAGCGTGTGTGTATATGTTAGGTTGACAAAAGGCGGTAATTATAAAGGTACATGTCCCCGATATCAATGTTTCTCTGCATTTTAGAATCTATACGCGTTTGGAGTTTAAACTTAATTCTAAATCAGGTGACAGCTGCTTGACACATTCTCGACTATGCTTGTCGTAAGAGGCTAAGGGGATCAGGTGGTCAGGCTCGCTGACTTGGTTAATGCATGTCATCGTATCCCAATTGTAAATCGATGCTCATGACATTAATCACTGAATTGTCCGGCCTCGTTTTTCACAGGCCGCCGTCATATAACTGGAATGTTGCTTTCTGTGGCGTTAAACAACAAACACACAAACATAGCAATGAAATACATGAAAAATAAATAAATAATGAAATGTTCATTTATATTATATTTCTTGAACTTTTCCCGTTGACAAACCAAGGATCGTAATCATGTCTAATACGACGATGACCCCGACACGGGTACAATGTGTGAAGCCCATTTCGTGTGTCCCCCGCCGTGATATTGCTGGAATATTGCATATTTGACACACCATGTTATTCTGTTTTTGAAACGAGGCGCACGGGTGGCCCAGTCGTCTAAGGCGCTGCAATTCGCTGTGCAGAGTTGCGTCCCTTGGGCACGCCAGGAACCTATGAATGTGGGTTCGCCTCGATTAAATTTCTAGGTTTGTAAGCACCATACCCGTGCTCATGGGTTTCACCGAAGTGATAAACGTTTGAGACCTGCATCTCTTCGGGCTTTCCCACATTGAGTTGACACGCCGCGATATAACTGGAATACTGTTAAAAGCGGCGTTAAATCCAACTCACTCACTAATTCATTGTTTTTGAACCAACTAACTCACATGGCATTCTTGTAATCCACAGTTTGTGTATATACCCAAGTATTAGTGTTCTAATAACAGGACAAGGGCTTGCCATTGTTTATGTGCACAGATGCGTAGCTGAGTTGCAATGTGTGACATGGCTGTTGTTTATGTAAGTATGCGGCAATGATGATCATCCAACCAACCACTGATCATCAAGAGCACATCCTGATGCAAGCTGCATATATCTATGTAATGTATGTATATATTCATTCCATGAATCCAGCTGTCTCGCAGTCAACAAGGCTTGAGTAATTACTGCATGTCATAGTTGGATTAAAACACGCAGTACAAGGATTGTATGTACAAAATTCAGAATTGAAATTAACACATTTATTTACACAATTTCAGTACTTCATCTCTGACAATGTCTGACGAGATGACCGATGGTCAGATAATGTTTGAAGAGCCGGAAGCTGAGGTCAAGATTGGAGAGAAGGGTAAGTTAACACAGTAATCATGAGAATGCTTACAAACCTGACGATGCCGTGATGAATGATGCAGTGATGCCGAGTTTTTATCATGTTTGTAAACGTCTTATACCTGCATCACTTCGGGTTTTCCTCCCACATCAACCTGATGTCTTAAAGCCAAGTCAGTCCACCATATTCTCTGAAATTAGTTTTCAGTATTCAGCAGACAATATTTGATTCTCAGAGTGGCACCAGCGTTAAGTAATTGGCTTTTTTTGTTGACATAATAAACTGCTGACAAAATATATTAACCAGATTGGCTATAGTGTAATTTCACATGGTTTCGAAAACGAACTTAAACGAACAGTTCCGAAGTACATAGGAAAGGACATGCTCTTCTATTGCTGTGGATACAAAAAAAACACCATGTCGTTTCTGTGCAATTGTATCTTCATCCAATAAGAGTACAATTGAAGGAATGTATTTATTTTTGCGAAATGGAAATTTCAAACTATATGCAAATGATTTCCATAGCGAAATCACAAAACTTTTGCCTAATATTGGCAAGAAATCTGGGAGAAAGGTAACTCGGGTCACCACATGCAAAAACTATGCCTGTGTGGAAAACCTCAATTCAAATTTCACAGACGCAAAAAATGCGATGAAGTGCTGTCGTCTTTGTTTTCTGTGGTTATAATGCACGTCGTAGTATTTCATATGAGTATCTCCCCTCTACAGTCACTTTAGTGATAATATACCTGAAAGCGAAACACATTACACTTTGGATCAGACACGACTTTAGAAGTGCACTTTTTATGGAGAGAAAATACATTCTCCATTGAAACAATGCTAGGCCGTACTATCACGTACGTGTCAAAAGACAAGTGTTAGACATATTGATTACATAATTTTATAAATAGTTTATGGTTGGTTGGTTGGTTTGTTGTTTAACGCCGCACTCAGCAATATTCCAGCTATATGACGGCGGTTTTGAGTTTATGCAACAACGACATCTCCTGTCATTTATATGCTATCTCCAATTTCAACATCGAATAACTCGATCAAACCACAGTTACTTTCACTGTTCCATGCTTGTTTCCAACAGTCCACGCAGGTCTCCACCGTGTGCATATTTTCATTACCATGTTCTCTAATGCTACCTTATCCCAGTCCACAGGTACGGCGGAACTACCTTGTGTCCAACACTGCATTTATATACGGAAGCCTTTTAGGGCCATTTGTTTTTTTAATTTTTTCGATACTATCTTGAAATTTCAAGATACTAAGTTGAAATTTCAAGATACTATCTTGAAATTTCAAGATAGAGAAGTTGAAATTTCAAGATTCTAAGTTGAAATTTCAAAATACTAAGTTGAAATTTCAAGATACTATCTTGAAATTTCAAGATACTAAGTTGATATTTCAAGATTATTCACTTCAAACGTATTTTTACATCTTAGGATGTTAAAAAGTTATTATCTTGAAATTTCAACTTGGTATCTTGAAATTTCAACTTAGTATCTTGAAATTTCAACTTAATATCTTGAAATTTCAACTTAGTATCTTGAAATTTCAACTTAGTATCTTGAAATTTCAACTTAATATCTTGAAATTTCAAGATAGTATCTTGAAATTTCACCTTCTCTATCTTGAAATTTCAACTTAATATCTTGAAATTTCAAGATACTATCCTGAAATTTCATCTTAGTATCTTGAAATTTCAAGATAGTATCGAAAAAAATATAAAAAAACAAATGGCCCTAAAAGGCTTCCATATTTATACCATGGTCCGTTCGCATATAAAATGCCTTTTGCATAACAGTAGTACCAATATTACTTTATAAGTCGAAGGAAGCAATTAACATTATACTTAATCAAACAAAACTACCCACAGTGTCTGGGCTAATTGACCCATGATGCATTTCGGCTAGCACTTCTTTGTTAGTCACCATATTGAAGACGTTTTCAGGCATGACGTATTTTGTTTACCTACCCATCTCCCTTAGAACAATCATCTGCATGTCATCTTTAATTACATTTTCTCACCATAGTTTGCCTACATAATTGCCTTCAATGTCACACCATTGGGGACTGATTGCTGATTTGAGCCTCAAAATATTATCCCACAGGAGAAACTGTTTTGACCCCTCAAATTTCCTTAAGTACCTGGCGTGCTAAGGGTAACCCTGGAACACATCCGGAGTGTTACCACTTCGTCCCGGGGTCATTGGCAATCCATCTTCCCGAGGCAAGAGAGTTAACTGACTTTAAAAGTCCAGTTTCCACCCTTGCCGAACTAGGCTGGAATTCCTGGGCTCGATCGTAGCGCCACCAGTGGCTATTACGAGTTGTGTCCTTTCTATGCCTCTTCTATTGACCAATCAGATTCAACCTCTAGTATCACTTGCATTTGCTTCAAACAAAACGGTGGCGCCCGGTCAAGACGATCTGATCCATAATCAAGATCTATATTGTGATAAAACGAGTCTTACATCGCGAAGTGCATCAAATCACCTGAGAACCTTGATTAAAAACTTGAAAAGATTTAGAAAATATCTGTTGACAGCGAGTTAGCGGTGCACATGCTTTGCAAATCCTGCAGTCGATCGAAATCTGCATGACACTTCACGAACCGGATTTCGATTTCGGTGCGCGATTTTGATTGGACTATGCATAGACTCGTTAGTCCAGCCAAAATGTAACTCCATAATACCAGCCTAGTTCGGCAAGGGCGGAAACTGGACTTTTATAGTCAGTTAACTCACTTGCCTCGGGAAGATGTTGGCAATCAGTCCCCCAAATTGCCGTATCTTGTATAGACTTCAATAATAAAAAAAATCCATATATTCTTTGTTATGTCATTACTTGCATAAAATAACTGGCAAATATGATGCCCTTTGAAATATCTTTGACTTTAACTCTTTATTTTGTTCTGTGATAAGATCGTCTTCTATTTTTTTTACTGTTCAGCTCGCATACAATAGTGGCTGTTCTGTTTATTGCTTGGCTCCAATACATACTAAATCCAAATATTACTGCATCACCAGTTCATTGTCTGTGCACCTGTGTCGGTTTTATTTAAATGAATTTGAGATTTGGGGAAACCTGCGGTTAAAGCGCTCGTTCGTCATGGTGGTGACAGTGACCAACATGTGTTGGCGAGGCGAGGGAGTCTGCGGATGCTTCAGTATGTTTGTTAGTATCTTTGCGTTGGAGTAATGTGAGGTATGTTTTTAGCACAAGTTTTACCAGCCAAAGTTACTGGGAAATTGTTATTTCTGCGCTGGATTTACACTGGATTTTCTGGTCATGATCAATAGTTTGGTTGTCTGGCTCCTTTGTAGGCCGCCGTCTTTTGTTGGCAGTACTGCTGGGAAGCGTTGGGCAAAAAACCAAAGTTTAACACTAATGTATTTATGCAAATTGCGTGGGTGGGACAGTACAAGCTTGCCCATTTTGCCACTGCTGTTTTACCTTTTGTGCAATGTTTCGTAGGATGGTCGGGGCTGGTTGTTGCCTGGCGTTGTCTTATTGTATAATACATGTATGACTATGCTCGGGTCACAAGAAAACAAAATAAGAAGATCGTACGATTAGGTGATGGCTGGAGGTGTTGCATTTAAAGTCCCATATATATTTTTCATATCTGCAGTTAGTCCATTCTCAACGCGGTGGATTCTGGCCTACGTGTCCTTCTTTGGTTTTGTGTTTGTGTACGCCACCCGCGTCAACATCAGCGTGGCCATCATCTGCATGGTGCGGTCGTCGACGTCCAACGTCACATCAGTTGACAACAGCACTGGATTAAACATGACGTCGAGGTCGTTTAATGTAGTAGATGAAGCATGTGGCATACTGGAACAGGCTGTCTCAACTGTACAGGTAGGCAGGTTGAATAATATACCCCATGTTGTCAGAGACCCGTGAAGATTCTGGGATAGAATAGGTCTTCAGCAACCCATGCTTGCCGCAAAAGGCGACTATGCTTGTCGTAAAAGGCGACTAACGGGATCGAGTGGTCAGGCTCGCTGACTTGGTTGATGCATGTCATCGATCCCAATTGCGTGGATCGATGCTCATGATATTAATCACTGGATTGTCTGGTTCAGGCTTAATTATTTACAGACCGCCGTCATATAGTTGGAATATTGCTGAGTGCGGCGTTAAACAACAAACCAACTAAAACCATGTTGTCAGAAATACCTTTGTTCCCGTTGGGCTTCCGATTAAGAATAAATAAAGGTCCAAGCAACATACGCAGAGGCGACTTGATAGGTCGGGTGGTCACTTGGTAATCGTATCCCCTGGTGCATAGATCAATGCTTATGATATCAATCACTGGACTTACTTACATACTAGAATATTGCTGTGTGAGGTATTGAACGAGCAAACAAAGCAAACTATTATCATTGACATAATTAAATGATGTTGAGGTCTTTTAAACTAAAATCATTATTATCATTAACACCACTTCTAGCATAGTTGGGGAATTATTTTGATCATGGTTGTCAGGCTCTTTGTTGTCAAGATTAATTTGTTCAGAATTTTCTTTCCCAAACTAAAATATAGTTTCAAAATATTGATTGTATTAGACTGATCGCTTGACAGAACCGCCTCCGTGGTCTTGTGGTAGAGCGTCCGTCCGGAGACGCTTTCCCATAAACGTTAAAGATGGCCGCGTCATACCAAAAGGCGTTGAAAGATGGTACTTGTTGTTACCCTTCCCGGCGCTCGGCATTAAGGGGCTGAAACAAGGACTTGTCGGCTCGGAGTCAGTATACTGTGTCTAAATGGGGTATTCTTGTCAAACTGCACGCGCGCGTGCATGCACGTCGCTATATTACTGCAATATATGAGTAATCTTTAAAGCGACATTAAACCCCATTTCACCTCACCTCTTAACAGAAGGGTCGGTCGATTTAACTAAGAAAGAGAACCATTATTTTCATGTCAAAGGTTTATTTCTCTTGACATCCCCACCTTTCGAAGGAATGTTTGAAGAAAAAAACACATTTTTCATAAAAAAAATTTAATACCATATTTTTTTATAAAAATCAAGATATTGACACAAACGCATTATTTATAATGTGTGTGTGCTGTTGTTCGTATTGTTCTTGAAAATATTCTATTTACAATCTTGTATCAAATATTGTCCAATGTTTCTATGGTACTAAATGGTCAAAGAAACTGAACAGAGGATAACTGAAATAGTCTGTGATCAAAGGATAGTAGCGTCACATTTAGTTTCAAGAATATTGTCAATTTATTCCCTGATACAGTGTGTCGTGATACCATTCCCTTATACAGTGTGTCGTGATACTATTCCCTCATACAGTGTGTCGTGATACTATTCCCTCATACTGTGTCGTGATACTATTCCCTCATACAGTGTGTCGAGATACTATTCCCTCATACAGTGTGTCGTGATACCATTCCCTTATACAGTGTGTCGTGATACTATTCCCTCATACAGTGTGTCGTGATACTATTCCCTCATACAGTGTGTCGTGATCCCATTCCCTCATACAGTGTGTCGTGATACTATTCCCTCATACAGTGTGTCGTGATACCATTCCCTTATACAGTGTGTCGTGATACTATTCCCTCATACAGTGTGTCGTGATACTATTCCCTCATACAGTGTGTCGTGATACTATTCCCTCATACAGTATGTCGTGATACTATTCCCTCATACAGTGTGTCGAGATACTTGGTCTTTTTCTCTTCTCACATCCTTCACTGGTTCTTTACATAAAAACTATCATAATGTATGTCAAAACACGTCTTTAAATGACCGTGTTGAACATATGTACACATATATTTATACTAATAATCCCAGTGATTGTGTTCCAGAGAGGAGAGTTCGACTGGGACAAGCCCACCAGGTCTCGTGTTCTCGCCATGTACTTTTATGGCTACATTTTCACTCAAATACCCGGAGGATGGTTAGCAGGACGATACGGGGCTCGCCGGGTGTGGGGACTTGGGATGTTTGTGAACGGACTTGGGACCATTCTCACCCCTGTCAGAGCACATCTGAATGTGTATGTTTTGTATGCAGTGAGATTCATCATAGGATTTGCAGCGGTGAGTTTTCACCTTAACACCAATTGCTGATTGCCTCCCATTTTGTTTCATGGAGTTCAACCGATACACCGAGCATATGTTAACTAGAAGCAGATAATCCACATCATTGCAGAAAGTTGCCTTGCCGTTGTTCAATGGATGGTAATTCGAACCATTTTATTTAATCTGAAATTGAATACTAAATGTGAAAATGGTTGCTGCATTGAAGAGAGAGGTAGCGAAAATAGGCATTGTTGCGAAAATATAGAACCCACGAGAATTACGTGTCGATACATCGTTTATAATTGATACGTTTCTCTTCCAATGTCTGCCGTGTCATTTTTGGAAGTAAACGCTTGGCCTAAAAGCATCTGTTTTGATTCGTCATTATCTATGGATTTGAATCCTTTAACCCTTGGGGTCTCCGGGTACGAATAGGTCTCCTGCACCCTATGGTTGTCATAACATTTGACTAAATTGGTAATTGGTCAGGCTCGGTGATTTGGTTGATCGCGTGCTCATAATATCAATCACTTGTTTGTCTGAGCCAGAATCGATTATATACAGACCGCCGCCATGGAGATTGCTGAGTGCATGGTTTAACATTAATAAAGCAAGCAAGTAAAGTTAAGACAAAGTGTCTTGTTGTAAAATCCCCAGCGCTATTCACATGTTGCCTGTCTTCAAAAAACGACCCAAAGCCACATACAATGTTTATCTTTCACTGACGCCATTTTTAGTGCCAAGGGCAGATAATCTCAAACAAACTTTTCATGGCAAACCACAATAAAAGTAGATTCAACAAGCCTGTCCCAATGCAAGATTGACATTGAAAATTGCTACACCATAATACTTCGTCGCAGCGAAAGCATAATTTGCAGGAAATTAAGTCAAAGATGAAAATGAAAATATACCCCTTTTGGAACTGAACTGCATCGAAAAATAATGGTTTCACTAAAGATGGATTAACAAATATAACTTGTCATCAAGATAATGGAAAGAAACTCAATTCACACTATTTTTATCAGTGTGGAAAAGTAGTTGAATGACCTTTACATTTCCTAGGGAGTGTCATATCCTGCTTCACATTCACTATGGGGGAGATGGGCACCACCGCTCGAGAGAAGCAAACTCATGTCGGTTTCCTATGCAGGTAAATATGACCACCAAAAGAGTTCAATAACTTTTATTGTAAATACAATTTAATTCTTGCGACAGTAAGAATCACGGCGTATCTAGTTACAAATGATGTTGCATTATGAATGACTATGCATGCAACTGAACCTTCAATATAAATATGGGGGACCAGGTGTTCTAAGGTGTAACTTGCGTCCCTTAGACGTTAGAACGCTTATTATGGGTTCGAATCTCAGACATGTCATGGTTATTATCATTGTGTTCGCCACGCATCCCCGTGATCATGGGTTTCAGCAAGGCGGTAAACACCTGGGACATTTCACACAGAGTAGGCTGCCAAACTTAACGATATAACTGAAATACTGTTCAAATCTATCTCAGTATCTCAACACACTGAAATAGTGTAATACCATATAAATATCGCAAACCTGTTTGTAATTTACCCACTCTCCAGGAGCCCATGTTGGCAGTATCATCTCGTTCGCGCTGTCTGGGTATCTCTGTGCTAATGGTTTTGACAACGGCTGGGGATCCATATTCTACCTATTTGGTTAGTATAAAATATTATTTGAATTCTAAAAATCCAATAATATGAAAAATAAAGCAGACAAAATGTTTATGGATTACAACGTCGAATCATTCTGAAATTGCGACGTTTCGGTATAGACACTTATATGTGTCAAGCAATGTATAACAAATGAGTTGTTATCCATAGATTTTTTTGTCTACTTTGTCATCCGACCCGTGAAGTATCGGGGTAGAATTATAGGTCTTCAGCAACCCATGCTTGCCGTAAAAGGCGACTTACGGGATCGGGTGGTCAGGCTCGCTGACTTGTTTGATGCATGTCATCGAATCCAAAATTACGTAGATCGATGCTCAGTATGTCAATCACTGGATTGTCTGGTCCAGTCTCGATTATTTACAGATCGCAGTTATATAGCTGGAATATCGCTGAGTGCGGTGTTAAACAACAAACAAACAAACAAAACTTTGTCATCCTATGAAATATTTGTCAAACAATATATGAAAGATGCAATGCAGATAAGATGCTGTTTACAATAAACTCCCTGATGTGCCTTGGTTCGATTCCCCAAGGTGGTGTTTCACCTGCGTGATATAGCAGGATCAAACCACACTCACTCACTCATTGCCTACATCAATTGGAACATCAGCAAGTTTATTAATGTCTTCAGCATATTTGATTCTAGTATATTTTCTAAAATATTTATATTACGCATGTAAAGTCTAAATAAATCAAAATGATTTCTAATGTTAAACACTCGGTGGGAGGTGAGGTGAAATTGGGTTTAACGTCGCGTCCAAGATTATTGCACTTATATAGCGACGTGCATGCACGTGTATGTGTGTGTGTGGCTGCTTGTACTAGTCCGGACTGATGCCGATTTATAGTGCTAGCTCACTGAGATACCATGCCGCAGTTTAACATGAATACCCCACTCAGACACAGTATACTAACTCCGAGCCGACCAGTCCTTGTTTTAGCCCCTTAATGCCGAGCGCCAGACAGGGTAACAACAAGTACAATCTTTTAACGTCTTTTTGTATGACGCGGCCCGGGATCGAACCCTGGATCTTCCGCTCTCCGGGCGGACGCTCTACCACTAGACCACGGAGGCGGTCACTCGGTGGGAACCTGTGTAACCTACATGTAGTGTTCAACTCTCTATTGCTTGTCATAAAAGGCGACTCAGTTGAATCGGGTGGTCTGGCTTGGTGACTTGATTGAATTCATGTCACTGTATCCCAATTGCGTGGATCGATTATCATGATGTCAATCACTGGATTGTCTGGTTCAGATTCATAACAGACCGTCATAAAGCTGGTATGTTGGTGAGTGTGGCGTTGAACAACTTTCACTCGCACGATCGTGGTAGTCAGCAGCAATAGATGACGTTGACGTTGTCAGCATTACCATCGTCATCTCAGCAACAAAAGAAGCAGCAGTATCTGTTCATCGTGGTTGTTTATACACTGACTTGCCGCAGTTGTCTTCCCGGGTCTTGGTATTGGAAGCCTGGGTATAAAGGGGGCAGGATGCTTGACGAACCATGTCGACATTGACCTTATTTACGTCTCTGCTCCGTCAAGTCAAAGAATATTGATTTAACGAAAGCATCTGGCCAAAGAACAAAATTAAACATGTGTCAATGGCATTTGGATGCATGATGCTACTCACGACATTATTTTCATGAGTATTAAATGTCCAATTAAAGTAGGGCGGTCGGGTAGCCTAGTTGTTAAAGCGTTCGCAGGTCACGCCGAAAAACCATACTCACTCACTCACTCCAATTAAAGTACAGGAGATTGAGGGGCATGGATAGCCCAAAATTCGTTATGTAGAGTTGCGTCCCTTAGGCGTGTTAATTTTAGTAACACGTTTCACTGCAGGTGCTGGGAACTTGGTGTGAGATGGTCTGTGGATGCTGGTGTCAGCTGACAATCCCCGCAAACATAAATTCATATCTAAGAAGGAGATAGCATACATCGAAAGGAAGATTGGCTTCAACACTAACATTCAAGTAAAATATTTACATTAATTATTCTTTGTTACTTGATTATGTTGAATCGATTATTTATTTTCAGGCCGCCCTGGTGTAATTGAAATCATTCAGTATAAATAGTATGTGGTTATGCCTGTTACAGACAGGGTTATACTCATCTGTCATCATTGCTCAATAGTGAAGACAACTTTGACATTGTATGTGTAGCCGTTGACTTGCTCGCCTATATTTCAGGCCCAATCCACCCCCTGGTTGGCTATGGCCAAGTCTGGACCTCTCTGGGCCATCATTCTGGCTCATATGTGCAACAACTGGACCGGCTATACTCTCATCACTGTCCTCCCAACTTTCATGAGGGAAGTTCTCAAGTTCGATATTCTCCAGGTAGAAACAAATCCCTGTAGTCATGTATAATTGAAAGGTCAGTTGTTAACATGAAAAATTTTGTTGTTTCCTATACTCATCTTCCCGAGTCAAGGGAGTTAACTGACTTTAAGAGTCCAGTTTCCACCCTTGCCGAACTAGACTGGAATTCCTGGGCTCGATCGTAGCGCCACCACTGGCTATTTCGAGTTATGTCCCTTCTAAGTCCCCCCAACTGACCAATCAGGTTCCAACTCTCATACCACTTGCATTTGCTTCAAATAAAAAGGGCGGCGCCGAATAAAGACGATCTCTTCGATAATAAAGATCTTTATTGTAATAAAACGGGTTTTACCTCGCGAAGGGCATGATATCACTTGGGCACCATGATTAAAAACCTGAACAGATTTGGAAAATATGTGTCCACGCCCAGTTGACGGTACATATGCTCTGCAAATTCTGCAATCGAACGAATTCGGCACGGCAGTTGTCATGTTGTCCATGAACCGGATGCCGATATCGTCACGGGATTTTGATTTGACTATGCATAGACTCGTTAGTACAGCCAAAATATAACTCCATAATACCAGCCTAGTTTAGCAAGGGTGAAATGAACTTTTAAGGTCAGTTAATTCCCTTGGCTCAGGAACATGCATGTCTACCCTTGGAGACATGCATTTGGTTCGTTATAGTCAACCTTTAGCCATATCCCACTGCAGTGATAACATGAAAATGTGTCACTTTACAGATGGCTAATGTAAGACGTTTAAGTGAGTGAGTATGCTTTTACGCCGCTTTTAGCAATATTCCAGCAATATCACGGCGGGGGACACCAGAAATGGGCTTCACACATTGTACCAATGTCGGGAATCGAACCCGGGTCTTCGGCGTGACGAGCGAACGCTTTAACCACTAGGCTACCCGACCGCCCCTGAAACGTTTTGAAGTGGGCCCATGAGTATAAATATTCTCAAATGAATAGCATCATGTATTTCCTTGTTACAGAACGGGGTCCTCTCCTCCATACCTTTTATTTGTCGTGCAGTGGAAATGGTCGTATCTGGTCAAGTCGCTGACCTCCTCAGAGCTAGAACCAGCCTTGGAACTACCAAGGTCCGGAAGATCATTCAAGGCGTAGGTGCGTTGCATGTTTGCGTCAGGTATTGTCAACGTGTAAATATATAACCAAACATATTGCATAGAAGAATCAACTCAATAGTTTGTGTAAAATGTAATATTATGTATTTGACAAATATTCACATAAAGTCCAGTTGGCGTTCAGTCTCAACGTTTGATCGTATAGTTATATCATTGTAGCTCGAAAACACCGTTTATGCCATTAAGAAACATTTTTTCCTAAGGTGGATCCAGCCGCACGCAGCAGCATATGTTTGTATGCTTCTTGTTTAAAGCCCCAACATCCGATCAGCCTAATCGGGGTGCATGCGCAGTAAATATTTTACATATAAGGAAAATGGGCTGACCTTACTATTTATAGTAACCCACGTGTCTCAATCTAAAATACATGCGGTAATCGGCAACAGGTGAATACCATTATGCACATCATCGTAGGTAACAAATTAACGTTGTTAATCTATTAAAATCATTTTAAAAAATTTACCTACGTTTACTCGAGGAAAATGGCGACATAGTCCTTCCAAATCTGATCCCACATGTTGTAAGTTTTCCGTTTGAGGACTTTGGTCTCGGCCTGACGTCTTGGGTTTCTAGCATCCATGACATATCTTGATGATGTTGTTGGTCTATTTACGTGTTCATTCCAGTCTAATACTGCCATATTGAGTTTCATAGACGTGATAAGATCTGCTTTCCTCCTACAATTTTAATACTCTTCAAATAAACCTTAGACCACTTACTGTTATTGAGACAGCAAAACAGTAGTTTACTTTGTAGTAATATTGCAATTAACAAGCCATGTAATTGTTTCGTTATTTGACTGAAATATTGTCGATGTGACGTAAAATTTTAACTGGCTCACTCATTTACTCTCTGTCATAGTCGGGGGCGGTCGGGTAGCCTAGTGGTTAAAGCGTTCGCTCGTCACGCCGAAGACCCGGGTTCGATTCCCGACATGGGTACAATGTGTGAAGCCCATTTCTGGTGTCCCCCGCCGTGATATTGCTGGAATATTGCTAAAAGCGGCGTAAAACCATACTCACTCACTCACTCTGTCATAGTCTGTGTGAGATAGAGGAGATACGTGACAAAACGACCACATAGATACACAAGACAAAAGATCATTCTCATCACCAAGAGAAATTGAAAAATGAAGTTTGGAAAATCACACTATAAACTTGATGATTTATGACATACTGTTACTATTATATGATGATGAATAATGTGGATCGATTCGAAACGATTGTTTCATTTTGAGTTCCGATGCCGTTGACACCACGGTAAAAATAGCAGGACAATTCCACTCGTGTGAGGAATAAATTGTGCCTGAAGTGATGGGAGATATAGAAATGGGGATGCTATGTTAGTGAATGGGTCCGGGGGAGGGGGGAAGTAATTAAATTATGACCCCATGGATGCCACAGGGACATATATGTCCCTCCTCTACAACCCTCACTTTGAAGTCGAATAAAATTCAAAATACATCATGCACACTAATACACTTCACAGTTTTGAATAAGGTGGGAGATTCCATATTCTGTGATATCACCCACTGCAATTTTAGGCCAAGCAAAAGTACTGAAAATTAGGTACATCGTAAATGTCACTATTTTTTACACATTACTAAATCACCACTCACTGCGTTATTTACAGCATGTTTTGAAATCTAAATTTCGGATATTTACTCCGATAAATGAATTTCAAAAATAGCATATTTGTGATCACGGATATCTCTCCTTTATGAAATCGCCAATGATCATTCCAAAACGTCTCCGATAACCTTAGAATCGTTTAGAATGTTTTGGAAAATACGCAAACACGGACGCCGAAGTGTACTTTCCGCCATATTGGATAGTGTTTACAAAATCACGTTTCAGGTACACCGGTTATGAGGCGCCTGTAAGATCACGTATATTTCAAAGTTAGCTGCGATACACACATCCTTGAATTCCTTATTAATTTTAGAATCGAATTAACGATGGTCTTTGTCACCAATACGAAGTGGCTAGATGCAATCAAGCAATATATGCTAGGTGTGAAAACGAACGCTGTGCTCGAAAAACTCGGCATCCAGAGGGAAAATTGCAGTATCCCAGTAATATTACAAACTCACACAAGAAATGGGTTTCATTGGAAAATAACACACTGGACATTCCAGGACAACCCATATTCTATCCCTTGGGGCGGTCGGGTAGCCTAGTGGTTAAAGCGTTCTCTCGTCACGCCGAAGACCCGGGTTCGATTCCTGACATGTGTACAATTTGTGAAGCCCATTTCTGGTGTCCCCCACCGTGATATTGCTGTAATATTGCTAAAAGCGTCGAAAAGCCATACTCACTCACTCACTCACTCACTCACTTACTCACTCATTCACAAACTACAGCAGACAACCGATGACTTCACGCACTGTCGTATGTTTATGGTACAGGGGGCGGTCGGGTAGCCTAGTGGTTAAAGCGTTTGTTCGTCACGCCGAAGACCCGGGTTCGATTCCCGACATGGGTTCAGTGTGTGAAGCCCATTTTTGGTGTCCCCCGCCGTGATATTGCTGGAATATTGCTAAAAGCGGCGTAAAACCATACTCACTCACTCACTCACTCACTCACTCACTCACTCACTCACTCACTCACTCACTCACTCATTCACAAACTACAGCAGACAACCGATGACTTCACGCACTGTTGTATGTTTATGGTACAGGGGGCGGTCGGGTAGCCTAGTGGTTAAAGCGTTCGTTCGTCACGCCGAAGACCCGGGTTCGATTCCCGACATGGGTTCAGTGTGTGAAGCCCATTTTTGGTGTCCCCCGCCGTGATATTGCTGTAATATTGCTAAAAGCGGCGTAAAACCATACTCACTCACTCACTCACTCACTCACTTACTCACTCACTCATTCACAAACTACAGCAGACAACCGATGACTTCACGCACTGTTGTATGTTTATGGTACAGGGGGCGGTCGGGTAGCCTAGTGGTTAAAGCGTTCGCTCGTCACGCCGAAGACCCGGGTTCGATTCCCGACATGGGTACAATGTGTGAAGCCCATTTCTGGTGTCCCGTGCTGTAACTCACTCACTCATATTTTATCTCAAATGTTAACCAGGTTTCAAATCAACAATTCTATTCGTCTAAGTTCGGTTAATCTGATGCCGCATGATGTGTTTATACAGGTATGCTGGTGTTCTATTTGGAATAAGCAACGTAGCAGCGACTGTCCCTGGGATGATAGCCCCTCTCGTCGCTGGAGCGCTCACGCCAAATGTAAGTACACGTGTACTGGGACAATCATGATCATTCTATTGTGCTCAATTTTATATGGACCCCCGCCGTCATAGTGCTGGAATATTGCTAAAAGCGGCGTTAAATCATACTCGCTCACTCACTCAATTTTGTATGAGGTGAGGTGAAATTGGGTTTAACGTCGCGTCCAAGATTATTGCACTTATATAGCGACGTGCATGCACGTGTATGTGTGTGTGGCTGCTTGTACTAGTCCGGACTGATGCCGATTTATAGTGCTAGCTCACTGAGATACCATGCCGCAGTTTAACATGATTACCCCACTCAGACACAGTATACTGACTTCGAGCCGACCAGTCCTTGTTTTAGCCCCTTAATGCCGAGCGCCAGACAGGGTAACAACAAGTACAATCTTTTAACGTCTTTTTTGTATGACGCGGCCCGGGATCGAACCCTGGACCTTCCGCTCTCCGGGCGGACGCTCTACCACAAGACCACGGAGGCGGTCCAATTTTGTATGAGATGGAGGCACGAGTTGTTGGTTTACTGACCAATCTATGGATCATGTACCTTATAAACGTATGGATGAAGGACGCATATTACCGCTAATTATTCACACAATAAGATGGAAGTGAATACACTATTTTGTATGCGAAAGTGTGATACTAAAAGATCGACAAGGAAGTTATATACATCTAGATATAAACTTGAATAACATATACCACTCAAAAGAAGTTAAGAACCCCAAATTTTGTTCATATGACTCTAGTTAACATGTTGTAGCTGGTGGGTATTCCAACACACAGCCTTCCAACTGTGGGTTTTCTTTAACTTGTTTTGTTTATGTTTGTTTGTTTGTTTTTTAACGTCGCATTCAGCAATATCCCAGCTATATGATGGCGGTCTGTAAATAATCGAGTCTGGACCAGACAATCCAGTGATTGACATCACGAGCATCGATCTACGCAATTGGGATACGATGACATGCATCAACCAATTCAGCGAGCCTGACCACCCGATCCTGTTAGTCGCTTCTTACGAGAAGCGTAGTCGCCTTTTACGGCAAACATGGGTTGCTGAAGACCTATTCTACCCCGGATCTTCACGGGTCTTCAACTTGTTTTGAATGGTATAGTTATGAATAAAGTACGAATGTAATTATGACAGGAAATTGAGATATCATAAAATTGGAAGCTTCTTGAATCAACGACACAGCCAAAGAAATTGTGGTGCTTTGGGGATAATCGAGAACCAAGGTTATTCGCTGGCGTTGACGTTTTATATTACAGTAAACTACGGTTATAACGAACTCAAAGTAACTACTAATTTTAGTTCGTTATAACCGTTGTTCGTTATAAGTACATATACAGCATGACTACAGCAAGTAGTCGGGACCAAACAGTAAGTTCGTTATATCCGTCAGTTCGTTATAAGCGTGTTCGTTATAACCGTAGTTTACTGTATAATTATCAGCTGATTATGACAATCTTTACAAAACGTTTTGTTCATTTAATCAGTGTATGTCTAATCTCCAGAACACTGCAGAGGAATGGCGTCACGTGTTGTACACATGTGCGGGCTTTCTGGTGGCTGGAACGCTGATATTTTCATTTCTCGCGAGTGGTGAAATACAGCCTTGGAACGACCATGGCGACAAAAGGGTTGACGTCATCAAGGACAAGAAATCGCATGACTACGTCAGGGTAGAAAGTATAACTACATGTATGTAGCTAGGCAGGGACACGAGGGCATGATGACGTCATGGGGTGTACAGACAACAAACAACAACTTCCGATTTTATGCAAATTGTTGGAGTGGCGGGTGCTGCCGGTAGAGCAGGACACTTACCCTTTAGTCAAACATCTGGCGTCACCACTTAGATTGAGTGATCCATTCATATAATCTTCACCACTATTTTGCCTTTCAAGTTCAATGGAATCTGTTTGGACGGATAATGGAGACAACTGGCGTTGACGTGTTATGTCTACCTGGTGTTCGCGAACACGTGGTTTCATCACTGTTTTTCAGTGATCCATCCATATATACTTTTTCTTGCTATTTTGGCTTTTTAAGCCCGATGGAATCTGTTTCGGTGAAACGGGTAAGCACGTCCTTCTCTATCGGTAGCACCCGCCATTCACACAATAGAAACAACGCGCCGGGGTTCGTGAACCATGTGGTAAAAAGACGTAATGAATGTAAAGAGAAGTGTATTATGAAGCAGGACGATGAAGGAGCCGGATGGTTATAGCGTTCACTCGTCACACCGAGACCCGGGGTCGGATCCCTGCAGGGGTAAAATGTGAAAAGCATATTCTTGATGTCTTTAGCCGTGATATTGCCGTTGTGTAACGAAAATAGTTTTGAAAGAGGCGTTAAACGAACGCATTCACGTATTATGAACATGTGAAAGATATCACAAATATGTGAAGGATAATTGAAGTGCCCGGACGGACTATAAGTATTTTGGGAATGAGTTATCCATTCATATAACTTACACAAATTTTCACAGATTACGCACAATGAAATTCTGCACGGATTATGGACAGTGCCTGACGTTTTGTATTTAGGTGAATATACCCTTGATTTGAAACGTGAATTTGTGCTTCTGTTTTAATCATTTAACACGTCTTTTCATCCAAACGAAATGTCAAGTTGCCAGGAGTTTCAAACACAGGGAAACACGAGGCATGTGGGTGATGTAGAAGTATGTATTGGTTCAGTTTCAGAAGGGTGGCAACATAATCATACCGTGACTACAAATCTTTGCTAGACATTTGCAGCTTATCGAGGCTGTATGAACATATAGTTCACTTGAAGTTCACCGACATGTATATCTGCAGCTGTTTAATTGTTTATTATAAACATAAACAATACTTTGTGATAACTTACAGACATCTAATCGCAACCTCCTTTTCTACTTCCTTTGAGCCTTCAGTAGCATCGCACGCTATATTATCGCGGTAGTTCATTTATAATGGATCGTAATGGCGAACGCTTACTAACCTATTAAATATGTCATACGCAAAATGTTTCTTGTTCTTTGTTCAACTGTTATGACACATCAATTAGGATTGATCGATACTGATTTTCTTTACCGATGGGCGGTCGGGTAGCCTACTGGTTAAAGTGTTCGCTCGTCACGCCGAAGAACCGGGTTCGATTCCCGACATGGGTACAATGTGTGAAGACCATTTCTGGTGTCCCCCGCCGTGATATTGCTGGAATATTGCTAAAAGCGGCGTAAAACCATACTCACTCACTCACTCTTTACCGAGTTCGTTGAGAGTTGAGCAAATATCCACATATTGTCAGTACTGATACAGCGGGACGTCACCATCACGAGGACGTTCAACTTAGAGACGTCAAGCTTTACGATAACGTCACTAAATTCATTCGTTCTGCTGGCGGCCGCTGAAATCAGTTCCATAACAGTAACTTCAGTTTCTGCTAAAGGGGCGGTAGGGTAGCCTAGTGGTTTAAGTACTCGCTCGTCAATCCGAAGACCCTGGTTCGATTCCCCACATGGGTACATTGTGTGAAGCCCATTTCTGGTGTTCCCCGCCGTGATATTGCTGGCATATTGCTAAAAGCGGCGTGAAACCATACTCACTCACTCACAAAAACGATACGAAAGTGCGGCTGCAATCATTGGGTCTGTCCACAATAAAACGTAATTTGTAACAGAAACTTCAGTTTCTGCCAGACAATAATCAAAGGGCAATAATACGCGATTAAAACAAAACTGGAGTTCATGGTTGCATACATTTATAGTCATATTCTTTGGTATTCCAACAACAATCTTTCCAATGGGTCTTTATTTTGCAGTAGAACCGGTCAATATATTTCAATGAAACGAGCACCGTACACAAGTTAATAAGAAACAGCGATAAATAAATTTATCGAATTTGTTTGTCAGTAACGGTTGTATGCACAGTGGACCATTACTCTGAACAGAGACCTAAAAATAGATATTTCATTTTATGGTCCCTGTTCTGAGTGAGTGAGTGAGTTGGGTTTAACGCCGCTTTTAACATTATTCCAGTTATATCACGGCGTGTCAGCTTAATGTGGCAGGAAAGCCCGAAGTGATGCAGGTCTCAGACGTTTACCACTTCGGTGAAACCCACGAGCACGGGTATGGTGCTGACAAACCTAGAAACATAATCGGGGCGAACCGGGATTCGAACCCACAATCATAGGTTTCTGGCGTGTCCAAGGGACGCAACTCTGCACAGCGAATCGCGGCGCCTTACACGACTGGGCCACCCGTGCCCCCCCCCCCCCCCCCCCTGTTCTGAACACGTAGTTGACATATAACCTCATATCCTCCTTGTAAACTGCCCGGCAAAAGAAAGTACACAGTTGAAAATTGGATTTGACCAAAAAGTTCCAAACTTTATCTAAACCTTCATAGGCTGAAAACCGCCCTGAAACACTGCAAACAAGACTGATACCAGTATTCAGTACATCACCATCGAGTAACCATTTCTTGATTGTTTCATTTCCAGCCACCTTCAAACATGTGTGTGTACTTTCTTTTGTCCGGTACTTTATATCTGGATACCTCAACTGCCCGGCGATCAGTAAAACACTGAGTTTGTGGGCGAAGTCCAATTCAGTGAGGACCAAATCCCAGAACTGACAAAGTCTCTTGATTATATGTGATGGGACTTTGGTGACTAGACATAACACATCCACCGGGGTCTATTTGGTCAGAGCTCATGTACGATCATTTATCAGAAGACTCTTGGTCTTCTAGCTGGTGCGTGTTTTATTGAATTTCGCCGTACTGACGGGACCACCGGGTGTCGGTTTTACAACGGGATCATTGGCCGTCTTATTTGTACCGGCATTGTCACGTGACTTGTTCTTCGTGTATCTCTGGACTGTACCTTCCGCGATGAGTTTCATCGCCAAACGGACGCGAATTATATTCTTCTGTAACAGATTACATTGTAAAATAGAAATATAATCAAGTACAATAAAAAGCGTGTCCATAATTACATAATCATTAGAAATCACTTCTAAAAGCAGTCAACTGTACGATTCCGACTTTAATACAATGTGTTTTTTGTGGACCACAACTAACTTGTGGTGATACTAGATGTTCGCGACAAGATAAAAAACACATTAAGATATAAGTTGTCAAGCGTTTCAAGTATTACACGTTTGCCCGACCCTCAGTAAAAAACTACATACAAAATACAAAAAAACAATGAAAACATTTATTTTTCAACTTATTTTTGTTTACAGCTTATAAATATATAATATTCATTACATTTTCTATATTAAAGATGCATTGAACAGCATCTGTGTTACAATTTACAAGTATGCGTTGTATTTCGAGGTTTCTGTTGTTAGATGTGCCCCTAAGCCACAGGAGTAGTAGTTTTTATCGCTTCTCCCTGCAATGTATAATGATTAAACAAATATTTGCTTTGTAGAAATGGTTAATCCTGGATCCTTATTAATTCCACCCCGCCAAATAAGAAAATTGGTTTGGTTGGTTGGTTTGTTCTTTAACGCCGTACTCAGCAATATTCCAGCTGTATGACGGCGGTCTGTAAATAATCGAGTCTGGACCAGACAATCCAGTGATTGATATCATGCGCATCGGTCTACGCAATTGGGATTGATGACCGTACATCAACCAAGTCAGCTTTTTACGACAAGCATAGTCGCCTTTTACGACAAGAAAATAAAATTTCTTTAACATTTATTTTTTCAGCCTCGGTTACATATGGAAGCTCAGGTTGGAAATTGCCTCCGATACACAGAAATATTTTATTTTCGGAACATTATTTTTAACACCAGGGCCCGTTCCATAGAGTGACCTTACTGTTACTTCTACATTAAATACAGGGCCCGTTACAGAGAGTGAACCTAGAGCTGCAACTACATTAAGAACAGGGCCCGTTACAGAGAGTGACCCTAGTGCTGCAACTACATTAAGAACAGGACCCGTTACAGAGAGTGACCCTAGTGCAACGACTACATTAAGAACAGGGCCCGTTACAGAGAGTGACCCAAATGCAACGACTACATTAAGAACAGGACCCGTTACAGAGAGTGACCCTAGTGCAACGACTACATTAAGAACAGGGCCCGTTACAGAGAGTGACCCTAGTGCAACGACTACATTAAGAACAGGACCCGTTACAGAGTGACCCTAGTGCTGCAACTACATTAAGAACAGGGCCCGTTACAGAGAGTGACCCTAGTGCTGCAACTACATTAAGAACAGGACCAGTTACAGAGAGTGACCCTAGTGCAACGACTACATTAAGAACAGGGCCCGTTACAGAGAGTGACCCTAGTGCAATGACTACATTAAGAACAGGGCCCGTTACAGAGAGTGAACCTCGTGTAACGACTACATTAAGATCAGGGCCCGTTACAGAGAGTGACCCTAGTGTAACGACTACATTAAGAACAGGGCCCGTTCCAGAGAGTGACCCAAGTGCAACGACCACATTAAGAACAGGGCCCGTTCCAGAGAGTGACCCAAGTGCAACGACAACATTAAGAACAGGGCCCGTTACAGAAAGTGACCCTAGTGTAACGACTACATTAAGAACAGGGCCCGTTACAGAGAGTGACCCTAGTGTAACGACTACATTAAGAACAGGGCCCGTTACAGAGAGTGACCCTAGAGCAACGTCTACATTAAGAACAGGGCCCGTTACAGAAAGTGACCCAAGTGGAACGACCACATTAAGAACAGGGCCCGTTCCAGAGAGTGACCCAAGTGCAACGACCACATTAAGAACAGGGCCCGTTCCAGAGAGTGACCCAAGTGCAACGACAACATTAAGAACAGGGCCCGTTCCAGAGAGTGACCCAAGTGCAACGACAACATTAAGAACAGGGCCTCAGGCCTTTCCTCACTCGGAAGAATCTGCCCTTTTGAAGTTACAACTATGTCAAGCAAAATACTGTATTTGATGGACAGCACGCCGTATTGTTTGTCCAAGATGTCTGACGGTCGAAATGCGTATAACGAACCACGGATATAACGAACTAAAATTACTGGTTTTAGTTCGTGTTAACGATAGTTCACTGTACATGCACTGGTTAGCAGTTCATTTGGAACATCCCTGAATGTCGTGTTGTTTTCTTTTCAAATCAAAAACGATTATTGTGCCCCCAATATTTTGATATTTTGCCCTAGAACATCAGTAAAACAGGCCATCAATCATCCAAATCAAAATGAAGGGTGAAGTTCACACAGGTCTTGTCTTAAGCCCAATGTTAATGTCACTAGATGAAACTTCAATGCTCTTGATGCTATTAGCTAAGAAATGTGGCAATCAACATGTTCTTGTTCTTACGAATGTTAAATTATATGATGAAATTATTTTAACATCCTCATGTTTACAAACAACAAACTAGTATCGAACTTGGTATGTGTAACATAACGTCAGTGAGAGAATATTCCAACTATTATGAGGTCACACATCACGGCATTACCCGGAATTCCAGCGGGGTCAGTCAACCAAGTCACCGAGCCTGACTACCCGAGGGAAGGTCGGGTAGCCTCGTCGTGAAAGCGTTCGCTCGTCACGCCGAAGACACGGGTTCGATTCCCGACATGGGTACAGTGTCTAAAGCCCATTTCTGGTATCCCCCGCCGTGATATTGCCGGAATATTGCTAAGAGCGGCGTAAAACCATACTCACTCACTCACTGATTACACGATCCATCAACGTCGCCCCTAACGTCAACATAGATTGCTTAAACACAAATGGGAACTTTTCAAGTGAGCATTCCTTACCGCTAGTTTCCTGTTCAGTCTCCTCAGCTCGAACAGGGAGATGCAGAGGTTACGGTACTGAGCTTCAGCATCCTCCAGCAGAACGAAGGGGTCGTTTTCCCAGTCTGTAAAAGTTGAAGTTGTGTTATGAGTTTACTATATTATTAGTGGTATGCAAGAAGGGCTACAAGAGTTATGCCCCTTTGTAAACAGACAGGTTGTTCCATCTCATACAGGATGGAAAGTATGATCATGTATCCATAGTTACGGTATGTATATATGTTCTTCTTGATTGTGATGTCATGTACATCATTCTGTTTATGTTGTCATTGTAATGCCAGACGAACTACAGCCATCATTATTATTATGTTTAACTAATGATGAGGGGAGGTCGAGTAGCCAAGTGGTTAAAGCGTTTGCTCTTCACACCGAAGACCCGGGTTCCATTCCCAACATGGGTACAATGTGTGAAGCCCATTTCTGGTGTCCCCCGCCGTGATATTGCTTGAATATTGCTAAAAGTGGCGTGAAACCTTACTCACTCACTCACTAATGATTCCAGACGAGGTGTAGCAGTTGTATAACGTCCCCCGCAATAGACTTGTTACACCGCGGCGGCCTCTAACTAATGGAATCAGGGCCAGGCAAAATGGTTTATAAATAAAAGCGACAAAACCATTTCCATAACCATCAGAAATCTCTACGACGTCCCTTCAGTACAATGGTTGTGGGGTTGTTGCTTGCGTTGATACAAAACCTGCTCGGGTTGTATGAAGTGCGATGTCCTGGGCCCACTTGCACAAAGCGAACTTAGCGATAAGATGATCTTAACCCCCATACTTTAACATAGGCTTACAATTGTTGTAGCGCTAAGATCGCTTTGTGCAAGTGGGCCCTGGTCTATGGTTTGTCTAACCCTCAACACCTCATAGATTTAAGGTTTCATGACCAGAATGCGAAGTCAATTTATCGTCACGTTACCATTTGAAATGCCTGACTTTCTTTCTCAAAATAGCAAGGCAATATGTCACAGTTAGATATTTACTTTTCTGAATGAAATAGAGAACATGTCGATCTTATCTGTATGTAAAAACAACACATCTGTATGTAAAAGCGAATCGTGGTAAAACATTGTTCTATCATGACCTCATTTCTCGAGATTCGAACATGTGCTCGTAACTTGATGACGTAAGTCAAACAACGTTATTTTTCAGGTTGGGGTGGGGTGGTGGTGTCTTATGAGTTGTTCACTATAGTAGAAGCTGGGAAACGTAGATAATCGCTTCCAAAAGTGAGAGAGATGTGACAATCGGTATTAGGAGAAAAGGTACAGATAATCGACGCGCAAATTGTGAGAATGTGCGGGAAAGACCAAATTGTACCCCCATGTTCATAAAATGGACTTGTCCGACATGGCCGCGGTCGGATTCTATTAAGCCATCATTATTTACATGCGGGTAAATATCTTTTAAGCGTGTACTTTTTACTAACATCCTTAAAGAGGATATGTTGTAATGATATAAGTTGTGAACACGGTAATAAAAAGCTTGTAAAGATGTAAAGATTGTTGAAGATACGCAGCACGTCAAACACCAGGTACCGTTTTAACCCCACAAAGGGGAATCCCCTAAGGAGCGGAATTTTCCGTTTGGGCGACGATTTCGCCAGTCCCTTTTTATTGTCTGTTTTCGCTATTTCCCTTTTTTAACTCGTGCATGTCACACTGTCCATCTGATGCTGTGGTGGGGAATCAATGTGGCTCAGTGATTCAAGGCACAGCGTGGTCTCGTGGTTGAGCGTCCGCCCGGAGAGCGGAAGGTCCGGGGTTCGATCCCCGGCCGCGTAATACCAAAAGACGTTAAAAGATGGTACTTGTTGTTACCCTGTCTGGCGCTCGGCATTAAGTGGCTAAACCAAGGACTGGTCGGCTCGGAGTCAGTATACTGTGTCTGAGTGGGGTATTCATGTTAAACTGCGGCATCTTATCTCAGTGAGCTAGCACAATAAATCGGCATCAGACATCAGTCCGGACTAGTACATTACTACAAGCAGCCACACAAACACACACACACGTACATGCACGTCGCTATATAAGTGCAGTAATCTTGAACGCGACGTTAAACCCAATTTCACCTCACCTTCAAGGCACAGCAGTTCGCGGTGCAGATTTTACGAATGCCAGAATCAGCTATCACGGGTTTGAAATGCCCCGATTAAGATGCATAGTTTTTCAGCACGATACCTGTATTCGTGGGTTTTCACAATTAGATAAACGTCTCTGACCTGCATCCCTTTTAGCGTCCTCCCATTGCAAGTGGTATACCTAAAATACTTTTGGAAGCGTCGTTAAACCTAGCCAACTGCCGCTCTCAGCGTGTACTGACCCATACTTCCGGAAGGGTTATTTGGTGACCTCTTGCTCCTCAACAGTTCCAACAGCCGGGTCACAAGCCTCTCCCTTTTCGTGTCTGTTGGCGGAGTTGTCTCCCCCTTGCGAAGGAACACGCCCGAAACTATGCATGTTTGTAGGACCATGTCAGAGATGAACGACTTCTGCATTAAACCAAATTCTGGAAAGAAAATAGTTGAGATAAGTTCTAAACATTATAAAGATAATTTTGACTTCATACGACAATTTTTAAACAAATAGAAACTTTTAAGTTGTCTTTTATGCAAACTGTTTGAATGGCGGATGCTACCGGTAGACCTGGACATGCTTACCCGTTAGTCAAACATCTGGCGTCACCACTCAGTTTCAGTGATCCATTCATATAACTTTCACCACTAATTTGCCTTTCAAGTTCAATGGAATCTGTTTGGACGGATAATGGAGGCTGCTGGCGTTGACGTTGGCGTTGCCCTTTCCGCGAACACGTGGTATCATCACTGTATTTTCAGTGATCCATATAAACTTGTTATTGCTATTTTGGCTTTTAACTAATGGAATTTGCAGATAATGGAGACTGTGTTTCAGTGATCCATTCACATAATTTTCGCCACTATTTTGCCTTTCAAAGTCTAATGGAATCTGTTTGGACGGATAATGGAGGCTAATAACGTTGACGTTCATGTTAATCTGGTGTTCGCGAACAGGGTAAGCATGTCCCTCACTACCGGTGTCCCCCGTCACTCACACAATAGAAACAACGCGCCGGGGTTCGTGAACCGTGTGGTGAAAAGACGCAATGAATGTAAAGAGAAGTGTATTATGAAGCAGGACGATGAAGTAGCCGGGTGGTTAAAGCGTTCACTCGCCACACCGAGACCCGGGGTCGGATCCCTGCAGGGGTACAATGTGAAAAGCATATTCTTGATGTCTTTAGCCGTGATATTGCCGTTGTGTAACGAAAATATTCAAACGACTTTACCCATTCACGTGTTTTGACGAATTAAAAGATATCAGCTGCAACTGAAAATATATCCAGTCTCCATACGAAATCCCAAGTAAATCATAAGTGAACAACTAACATGACCTACCAGACTCAGGGCAGACTGTGAGTACGTTTCAACTGGTCACGTTGATTTAAGACATCGTATGTGTTCACTGAATTACCTACCTTCTGAAGATCTGGGGTAGAATAGGTCTTCAGAAACCCATACTTACCGTAAAAGGCGACAATGCATGTCGTAAGAGGCGACTAACGGGATCGGGTGGTCAGGCTCGCTGACTTGGTTGATGCATGTCATTGTATCCCAATTGCGTGGATCGATGCTCATGGTGTTAACCAATGGATTGTCTGGTCTAGACTCGATTATTTACTGACCGCCGTCATACAGCTGGCATATAGCTGAGTGCGGCGTTAAACAACAAACAAACAAACAAACAAACAAACTTACCTTCTAACGGCTTGGCGTCGTTTGGCCAGTAGTTTTGAGAAGCTACACCTTCCGAATCGTCCAAGAACGAATCAAATTCGTTGATGAACTCTTCCTCATCGGCTTCGAGTGTTAAATCTCGGCGCACCGTCCTTGCTCTTGCGTCGAGCGCCCCAAAGCACGCTACCGCCATACAGAAAAACAACATAGACCGCATGGTTCTGAAAAAAGAGACAAAAGATTGTAGGCTGATTATTTCCAACGATGCCCGGGGCGGTCGGGTAGCCTAGTGGTTAAAGCGTTCGCAAGTCACGCCGAAGACCCTGGTTCGAATCCCGACATGGGTACGATGAGTGAAGCCCATTTTTGGTGTTCCCCGCCGTGATATTGTTGTAATATTGCTAAAAGCGGCGTAAAACCAAACTTACTCACCCATTCAGTCCAACGATGGGTATTTCGACGGGGTTAGAAATCTGATTTGTCGTTTCAGCAAGAAGATCTAGAATTTATGTGGAATTTTATGCACACAACAAATGACCTTTCATTGTGGACAGGACCTAATGATTGCAGCAGCACGTGTGCATCGTTATTATGAGTGAGTGAGTGAGTGCGTGAATATGGTTTTACGCCGCTTTTAGCAATATTCCAGCAATATCACGGCGGGGAACACCAGAAATGGTCTTTACACATTGCACCCATGTGGGGAATCGAACCGGGTTCTTCGGCGTGACGAGCGAACACTTTAACCAGTAGGCTACCCGACCACCCCTCGTTATTATGAGTAAGTTGAATAAACTCAATTATTAGACCGCCTACGGCCCGGCCGCGTCATGCCAACCGACGTTTAAAGATGGTACTTATTGTTACCCTGCCCTACCCTGGCATTCGGCATTTGGGGGATCAAACACGGACTGGTCGGCTCAATGTCAGTATACTGTGTCTTAGTATGTGTAAAACTAATAAATGTAATAAGTTATGGTGTCTTTAGTTGATGTATACGGTGTCATGTTAAGTTAGCAGAAAAAAATATTGGGCGGGACGTGAGCCGACGGCAACGAGAGACACAACATCGAATTTATTATGCCGAACGTTTACACTATCTGCTATCTTTATCGCACATGTTATGTCAAAATGAAGACTTGACACTTACAACCGGTTTAAATGACGGGACCAGTACATTTTTCCTAAACAACGCTTTAATGCAAACACAAACGTTAACAATGGAATATATAATGCACTAAATGTGAACGTTTCAACATGTATCATAGCTAACATGGACAGAATTAAAAAAATGCCCGCATGTTATAAGATATTTAGAGGCAACTGTAACTTGATAGAGTCAGCCTAGAGGCTGCTTTCTGTTCTATTGTTATGTGGCGTCTTTGGCGTCACGTTTCTTGTTTGTGACGTCATCCAATATTATGTTCTATGACGTTGCTATTTGTAAATCAGTGACCTCATTTGTGATCTTTTACGCACGTTCAAGCCTATTTCACCTCACCTTTCAGTGATATCACGCCCAAGGTGATGTTGGTTGTAGATATTTAGCAGATTGGTGAATTCACGTGCATGGCGCTGACAGGTGAATTCACGTGCATGGCGCTGACAGGTGAATTCAGTGCATGGCGCTGACAGGTGAAACCAATGTGCATTGCGCTGACAGGTGAATTCACTTGCATGGCGCTGACAGGTGAAACCCATGTGCATGGCGCTGAGAGGTGAAACCCATTTGCATGGTGCTGACAGGTGAATTCAGTGCATGGCGCTGACAGGTGAAACCCATGTGCATGGCGCTGACAGGTGAATTCACTTGCATGGCGCTGACAGGTGAAACCCATGTGCATGGCGCTGACAGGTGAATTCACTTGCATGGCGCTGACAGGTGAAACCCATGTGCATGGCGCTGAGAGGTGAAACCCATTTGCATGGTGCTGACAGGTGAATTCAGTGCATGGCGCTGACAGGTAAAACCCATGTGCATGGCGCTGACAGGTGAAACCCACGTGCATGGCGCTGACCGGTGAATTCAGTGCATGGCGCTGACAGGTGAAACCCATGTGCATGGCGCAGACAGGTGAAACCCATGTGCATGGCGCTGACAGGTGGATTCATATGCATGGCGCTGACAGGTGAATTCAGTGCATGGCGCTGACAGGTGAATTCAGTGCATCGCCCTGACAGGTGAAACCCATGTGCATGGCGCTGACAGGTGAATTCAGTGCATGGCGCTGACAGGTGAAACCCATGTGCATGGCGCTGACAGGTGAAACCCACGTGCATTGGGCTGACAGGTGGATTCACATGCATGGCGCTGACAGGTGAATTCAGAAAATGGCGCTGACAGGTGAATTCAGAAAATGGCGCTGACAGGTGAAACCCATGTGCATGGCGCTGACAGGTGAAACCCATGTGCATGGCGCTGACAGGTGAATTCAATGTGCATGGCGCTGACAGGTGGATTCACATGCATGGCGCTGACAGGTGAATTCAGAAAATGGCGCTGACAGGTGAATTCAGAAAATGGCGCTGACAGGTGAAACCCATGTGCATGGCGCTGACAGGTGAAACCCATGTGCATGGCGCTGACAGGTGAATTCAATGTGCATGGCGCTGACAGGTGAATTCAGTGCATGGCGCTATCAAATGAAACCCATGTGCATGGCGCTGACAGGTGAATTCACGTGCATGGCGCTGACAGGTGAATTCAGTGCATGGCGCTACCAAATGAAACCCATGTGCATGGCGCTATCAAATGAAACCCTCGTGCATGGCGCAGACAGTGTCTGACAGAATATAGGAGTCAACCCATAACCAGTGGATCATGGTACGGATAAGGGGCACAGTCATTTACGACGTTTTAGTCACTGAAGCACGGTATCTTATCGTGAATCTCTGAGTCACTTTCGTAGAGTAGAAATATCTAACCACTTATAACATGCACACCTGCAGAGATGCTTTGCTCAACTACACCTCATAATGCACGTTTCGTGTTCCCGTGAAACATGTTTTTTTACCAATTTAAAGTAATAGACATCGAAAACCCTCTCCTTGGGGGTTTAAATTTAGCGACGATAATTACAAAGCAGATGAAATAAGATACCATACAGAGACGCTTTAAATGAGAGCAGGGATGGTCAATTCCTTTAATTCATTTGTGCGTAACATTGTCCAGAAAAAGCCAGAGAAATAGTTCTTGAAATTCGAGAGGTAATATGAGTGAGTGAGTGAGGTTTTACGCCGCTTTTAGCAATATTCCAGCAATATCACGGCGGGGGACACCAGAAATGGGCTTCACACATTGTACCCATGTGGGGACTCGAACCCGGGTGTTCGGCGTGACGAGCGAACGCTTTAACCACTAGGCTACCCGACCACCCCACGATAGGTACGATGAAATTGATGATCCCAAAGTTAATATATAATTATACTCTTCACTATAAAACAATAGCCATGGATAGCCATGCAAAGCAACACTCATGGCGCTGGAATGCTCCCGATACAATGAATAGATATTAGAAATACACTATCGTTCAAATCAAAATTGCCGTCGGTCGCGACTGGTACACGGAACGCAATAGTTGCGCCTTAAGTGTGATTGTCGAAATGTGTTTCTCCGGGCATGCCGAAAAGCCGGGTCTCCGGGATTTCCCACAAGGAAAGTCAATGGTTTGAACTACGATAAAATTTCCATCAACAATACAAACCAGGATTAGAAGTTCCCAGTAGACTGTGTTTTAAGCAGCTATTATTGATCGGTGGTCGGGTTGACTCGGTTGAATGCATGTCCTTGTTGCATGCCGTTGAGGTACACCGAGCTAGCCTGACCATCCGTAATAAACTTGTTGACTACCACCCTTGTGAATACAAAAACCCTACGGTCTCGATCAGGGCGCGTTTGTGATCGAGGGGACGTTTGTTTTGAACAGTGGTGTACTGTAAACACGTCTAAGCTTCTTCAGACTTATTGCAACGAGAGAGACGGTCGGGTAGCCTCGTGGTGAAAGCGTTCGCTCGTCACGCCGAAGACCCGGGTTCAATTCCAGACATGGGTACAATGTGTGAAGCTCATTTCTGGTGTCCCCCGCCGTGATATTGCTGGAATATTGCTAAAAGCGGCGTAAAACCATACTCACTCACTCACTCATTTTAAGGTGTAGATACATGAAAGCTTATTACGAACAAAAAGACCCGTGAAGATTCCGGGGTAGAATAGGTCTTCAGCAACCCATGCTTGCCGTAAAAGGTGACTTTGCTTGTCGTAAGAGGCGACTAACGGGATCGGGTGGTCAGGCTCGCTGACTTGGTTGATGCATGTCATCGATCCCAATTGCGTGGATCGATGCTCATGATATTAATCACTGGATTGTCTGGTCCACACTCGGTTATTTACAGACCGCCGTCATGTAGCTGGAATATTGCTGAGTGCGGCGTTAAACAACAAACAAACAAACTAACAAAAAATACGATTCCACATTATTCTCTCCAGTGGTTGATTCAGTTTACAGTTTACAAACTATAAGTTCAGTTCACGGTTCATTGAGAAGCTCAATTTCACTGCTGATCATGGAAAATGTTTACAGTCATGCAAAGAAGTGGTTTTCCCCTGTCGTTGTAAATGTCACTATATAATTTCTACCCAGGTTCCCACAGAAAATTATTTTCAGTATCACGTCATTCACTTTTTTTCGGACCGCCTCCGTGGTCTAATGATAGAGCGTCCGCCCGGAGAGCGGAAGGTCCGGGGTTCGATCCCCGACCGCGTCATACCAAAAGACGTTAAAAGATGGTGCTTGTTGTTACCCTGTCTGGCGCTCGGCATTAAGGGGCTAAAACAAGAACTGGTCGGCTCGGAGTCAGTATACTGTATCTGAGTGGGGTATTCATGTTAAACTGAGGCATGGTATCTCAGTGTGCTAGCCCACCAAGAACGTTTCGGGGAATCTGAACAGATTGGGAGGTACCAAACCTAAGGCACCGAGAACAATGGGGAGTCGGACAACTTGGTACTTGGGATGTAAGCGTGACATTTCGAAAGCAAGATCCGCATATTTGCCATGTTTTTCCTCAATTTTGTTAATCACATTAGTGTCAAAGGGGACAGAAAAATTCAACGATATAAATGCTTTCATTGGATTTATCAAAAAGGACAAGGTCAGGTTTGTTGTCCTGGATACGTCTGAGGCTGTAAATGGGCCTATTCCAAAGAATTTTGTATTTATCATTTTCCATGACGCCCTCTACACGTTCCGGGTCGTACCATGGGTGGACCTCTGTGTCAAAACCACAAGCATGGCGAAGACGGTAATAAAATGATCGAGCTACACCATCGTGTCGCCTAAGATACTGTGTTTGTGCCAAATCTGACAATGTGTTGCACAGTCTCATTAAATTCATTGCATATTCTACATTTCATATTTACATTTTGATGCAATATCACACACTGACGGTTTCGAGTGGGCTATGACTGGTCCTGAGCAGCCAACAGAAAGCCTTCTGTTTCACTTTTCAGGCCAGACGACTTCATCCAAGTGAAGGACTCTGTAGGGTTGCTGACCATACATACTGCTCATAAACTCGATGCAGTGGTCGCTTAGATAGCCTCTCCTTCAAAAATGAGTCTGAGCCGATTTGATATTGCACTTCGCTTGGTTGACACTCATGTGTGTACTGTCCAGCAGCACCGAACCACCAACAAAATCAACACCGACATTGAGATAATGTCCTACATCCTTGGCTCGTTTTAGAAAACTGTGGAATGCCTTGTTTTCACCATGAGTCTTCGCATGCTTCACAAGAGGACCATCAGACAAATAAATGTGTGCAAAAGTGCACAAAACAGTTCTATCATGAAAAGCCCCAACGTTAATCAAACCACGCCTTCCCATAATGATTGGTAAATATAAGCGATTGAGGGAAGAGCGAGGGTGGTGGGATCTATTATCTCATATGATTCTTCGTGTGAGGGTGTATTATTATTCTTATTATTATCATTATTATCATTATTGTTATCTTTCCCTGAATCAGGGCGATGGGGTAGCCTAGTGGTTAAGCGTTTCACGCCGAAGACCAGGGTTCGATTCCCCACATGTGTACAATGTGTGAAGCCCATTTCCGGTGTCCTCCGCCCAGATATGCCTGATTTTTGCTAAAAGCGGCGTAAAACTATACTCACTCACTTACCCTGAATCCCCAAGTGTCTTTTGGTTGGGGAAGGGAAGGATTATGACATTATAAGATCGGTCAAATACATAGTCAACATAGATAATGGTTATATGTGGTTTGAGAGTTAATAAAATATGAATATATGTCTATGAGAATAGTATGACCTGACTTACCTTTCAGACTGCTAACTTTACTCTGTGTGACTAGGTGCAGATTGACCAGGCTTTTATACTGTTGTGGTATTCACACGGCCAGTAGACCGAGAAGCTCAACGCATAAGCTTTTGTCGGACAGCGGGACATGGCTTTTGACACGGGTGGATGCGTTTGACGTACGCTTGAATGTGTGTGCCTCGAGGCGAGACATTACGTGTACCGTAATTACCGTTATTACCGAGCGGTGGTGATTTAGTAGTAGTAGTAGGGGTAGTAGTAGTGGTAGTGGTAGTGGTGGTAGTAGTGGTAGTGATAGTAGTAGTAGTAGTAGTAGTAGTAGTAGTAGTAGTAGTAGTAGTGGTAGTGGTAGTAGTAGTAGTGGTAGTGGTAGTGATAGCAGTAGTGGTATTAGTAGTAGTAGTAGTAGTGACCCGTGAAGATCCGGAGTAGAATAGATCTTAGCAACCCATGCTTGCCGTAAAACGTGACTATGCTTGTCGTAAAAGGCGACTAACGGGATCGGGTGGTCAGGCTCGCTGACTTGGTTGATGCATGTCATCGTATCCTAATTGCGTAGATCGATGCTCATGTTATTAATCACTGGATTGTCTGGTCCGGACTTGATTATTTACAGACCGCCGTCAGTCATATAGCTGTAATATTGCTGAGTGTGGCGTTAAACAAACCAACCAAAGTAGTAGAAGTAGTAGAAGTAGTAGTAGTAGTAGTAGTAGTAGTAGTAGTAGAAGACGAAGTAGTAGTAGTAGTAGTAGAAGACGAAGTAGTAGTAGAAGTAGTAGTAGTAGTAGTAGTAGTAGTAGTAGTAGTAGTAGTAGAAGAAGAAGAAGACGAAGTAGTATAAGTCATACATTTGTTCCAGGTTTATTCGCTCATTTTTGCATCTTCAATATTGAAATTAATCTTTGCTTCTGACTAAGTCGCGGAAAGGGGTTCAGACGCGAATGTTGGATTGGTTAAAATGTAACGTGAGAGGGGTGCAGATTACGCAGATTACGGTATGGTATGACTGTTCAACCTCGTGATATTCGTCCACATCAACAATGTAGATTTATTGTATATTTCTCTAACTGTCTAATTGTCGTGCATCAGGTGATTCTATCACCAGTCGCCTCCACTCGTCGTTGCTCCTTTCGGGTGTGTAATCAAGTAATATTTCATTCACATAACACAGTCTTGCTCGTGTTATTTAAATGTGAAATGAAATACTCTTGAAAATAAGTTGCTAAAATAAGCTTATCATACTTATTGGGCGATGTTTGTTAATAAAAGTTATACCGCTCGTAGTAGAGACCTTACAATCCACACACTAAACATTTCGCCCAACAACCGAAAACCCACATCTCACAACCCACAACCCACAACCCACAACCCGCAACTCATACCCTACACCCCAAACACTTTGCCAACAACCTACACACCTCAAACACACACTAAACCCCAGGCCCACATACTAAACGGTATGTCCAACATCCCACACACAATACACTACGCCCCACATCCCACACTCTATACACTACGCCCCACAACCCACACTCTATACACTACGCCCCACAACCCACACTCTATACACTACGCCCCACATCCGACTCACTTTACACTACGCCCGAAATCCCACACACTATACACAACGCCCCACACACTATACACTACGCCCCACATCCCACACACAACACACGACGACTCACATCCCGCACACTACGACCCACATCCCACACACAATACACTACGCCCCACATCCCACACTCTATACACTACGCCCCACATCCCACACTCTATACACTACGCCCCACATCCCACACTCTATACACTACGCCCCACAACCCACACACTATACACTACGCCCCACATCCCACACACAATACACTACGTCCCACATCCCACACACAACACACTACGTCCCACATCCCACACACCATACACTAAGCCCCACACACTATACACTTCGCCCCACATCCCACACACAACACATTACGCCCCACATCCCATACACTATACACTACGCCCCACATCCCACACACAACACACTACGACCCACATCCCACACAACACACTACGTCCCACATCCCACACACCATACACTAAGCCCCACACACTATACACTACGACCCACATCCCACACAACACACTACGCCCCACATCCCATACACTATACACTACGCCCCACATCCCACACACAACACACTACGACCCACATCCCACACAACACACTACGACCCACATCCCACACACTATACACTACGCCCCACATCCCACACACAACACACTACGACCCACATCCCACACAACACACTACGACCCACATCCCACACACTATACACTACGCCCCACATCCCACACACAACACACTACGACCCACATCCCACACAACACACTACGCCCCACATCCCACACACTATACACTACGACCCACATCCCACACACAACACACTACGCCCAACATCCCACACACAACACACTACGCCCCACATCCCACACACAACACACTACGCCCAACATCCCACACACTATACACTACGTCCCACAACCCACACACTATACACTACGCCCCACAACCCACACACTATACACTACGCCCCACATCCCACACACAACACACTACGCCCCACATCCCACACACAACACACTACGACCCACATCCCACACACAACACACTACGCCCAACATCCCACACACTATACACTACGTCCCACAACCCACACACTATACACTACGTCCCACAACCCACACACAACACACTACGACCCACATCCCACACACAACACACAACGCCCCACATCCCACACACAACACACTACGCCCAACATCCCACACACAACACACTACGCCCCACATCCCACACACAACACACTACGCCCAACATCCCACACACTATACACTACGTCCCACAACCCACACACTATACACTACGCCCCACAACCCACATACAATACACTACGCCCAACATCCCACACACAACACACTACGCCCCACATCCCATACACTATACACTACGCCCCACATCCCATACACTATACACTACGCCCCACATCCCACACACAACACACTACGACCCACATCCCACACACAACACACTACGCCCCACATCCCACACACCATACACTATGCCCCACATCCCACACACAATACACTACGACCCACAACCCACACACAACACATTACGCCCCACATCCCATACACTATACACTACGCCCCACATCCCACACACAACACACTACGACCCACATCCCACACAACACACTACGCCCCACATCCCACACACTATACACTACGCCCCACATCCCACACACAACACACTACGACCCACATCCCACACAACACACTACGCCCCACATCCCACACACTATACACTACGCCCCACATCCCACACACAACACACTACGACCCACATCCCACACAACACACTACGCCCCACATCCCACACACAATACACTACGACCCACATCCCACACACAACACACTACGCCCCACATCCCACACACAACACACTACGCCCCACATCCCACACACTATACACTACGCCCCACATCCCACACACAACACACTACGCCCCACATCCCACACAACACACTACGCCCCACATCCCACACAACACACTACGCCCCACATCCCACACAAAACACACTACGCCCCACATCCCACACACAAAACACAACGCCCCCACATCTCACACAAAATACACTACGCCCCACACACTATACACTACGGCCCACATCCCACACCTCACGTCACACGTCCTCCTTCCTAGTCAATTTACCCACATCTTACAGACTAACACACACACAATCACACACACACACAATCACACACACACACACACACACACACACACACACTAATTTTCTATTGTCTTTGTAACATATATTGTATGTTAAATTCAAAGTGGGGGTAGCATCAAGGACAGTTCGCTGGCCGCTGCACAAGCTTTCAGATGTTATGTTTTTTTCTCACGATTTGACCTTAAACCCGAAGGATACCATTTTACACAGCACAATCATAATCCCCCACCCCCTCCTTCGAACGGAGTACCCAACAATAATGTCTTTTGTGCCCTAGTATGACTATTGCCGCATTAATCGGGACTGTAAATATGGCATAATGTACGTACGTAATCCTTGTAAAATCAATGTTCTATTCAAACAGTTATCTGGATATATTTTTTTCTGCTCACGCTGTTTAATCGGCTGAAATACATCGGCAGCTTTCATACCAACAAGAATCGTAATATTAGTCTTTGGTACAATAGTTGTGTGATTGCTGATTGCGCTGATACAAAACCTGTTCGGGTGGTATTAATGTACGTGTGTATGCGATGTCATGGGCTGTGGTTTCATCAAACCATCAACACCTCATAGATTTAAGGTTTCGTGACCAGAATGCGTCGTCAGTTCATCGTCACGTTACCAATTTAAACGCCTTGAATTTTCTAAAAATAGCAAGGCAACATGTGTCATAGTTAGATATTTGCTTTTCTATATGAAATAGAAAACATGTCAATCTTATCTGTATGTAAAAGGGCGGTCGGCTAGCCTAGTGGTTAAAGCGTTCGCTCGTCACGCCGAAGACCCGGGTTCGATTCCCGACATGGGAACAATGTGTGAAGCCCATTTCTGGTGTCCCCCGCCGTGATATTGCTGGAATATTGCTAAAAGCGGCGTAAAACCAAACTCACCCACTCACTGTATGTAAAAGCAACACACGGCGTGTATCCTAGTGTTATAACGCACGTACACCTGTACATAAAATCGACAAAACACATTTCCATAATCATAAGAAATCTCTACAAAAAGTAGGCCCCATTGTACGATTCCGACTATATCATCAGCATGTGTTAATGAATCACTCTCAAATAGTAAACGGTGTGCGCGAAAAACTGACTCGTCACAAACACATGCATGGGCAAGTCAATGATTAATGTTCACCTGAAAATACACGGGAACATGAAAAGGAAGGGAAAGTGAGTGAGAGCATGTTGAAAGCCACCAGCGGCAACATTATAGCTATATGAGGGCGGCCTGTAAATAATCGAATCCGGGCAAGACAAACCGGTGACTGACATCATGAGCATCGATCTACGTGTCACGGAACACGATGACACACAATCACCTGACCACCTGATCCACTTTAGTGTACTGTTAGAATAGAAGGGAGCAATGCCACCTCGGGATAAACAAGGGATCTAAGGACAGAAAACAAATATTTAAAAGAATCAATATGAGTTTCATTGAAGTCAGTGCAGACAATAACACTTAAACTCTAATTAAAGGACAATTACAGCAGGAGCAAACTCCTATTTTTGGTTCTATTGTTTCGTTTTTTGTTTGTTTGGGGTTTGTTTTGGATTTTTTTTTTTTTTTTTTTTTTGGGGGGGGGGGTTTCTTAGGCGGGGTGGGGGGGGTGTGGGGGGGGGTGGGGCTCATCCTCGTGCGAATATCTTTAATCTGGTCGTGTGAACTATTTTTAGTGTATGTCTCGTAAAACTATTGTATTTTTTGCAATTAGTTCTACATACCGACAAGTCTCAATCCCATATGTTACCTCGTCCCGGACGATGGAGGAATCCATTTTGGAGCTAGTGTTGTGCACGAGGCTACCACAGAACTGGCTGTTTTGGCCCTGGTGTGTTTTTCAAGGGCAGAGGGTATTTGGTAATGAGGAACCTAAGTGTAGCGCGCTTGCGTGCATGCGTGCATGCGTGCGTGCAATATTCCATCTATACGACGGAAGTCTGTGGGGAATCATATCTGAACCAAATAACCCAGTGAATGATATTATGAACAACGGTCACCTCATCTAGCCTCTGAAATGAAACTATTTTACAGAAAAAAAAACGTTGCTAAGTTATCTTGATAAAATACAATAAAAAGGAGTCCAAAGATACTCTTCACTTTCAGAAACTGGAGTAATCTAGACTTGCCAACTATTATAGACTTGCTTGGGCTGTATTGGATATATTTGTTTCAGGGTCTGTATGACAGACTAGGTCTACTAGTGTATGTACCATCGAAAAAGACCCGTGAAGATTCCGGGGTAGAATAGGTCTTCAGCAACCCATGCTTGCCGTAAAAGGCGACTATGCTTGTCGTAAAAGGCGACTAACGGGATCGGGTGGTCAGGCTCGCTGACTTGGTTGATGCGTGTCATCGATCCCAATTGCGTGGATCGATGCTCATGATATTAATCACTGGATTGTCTGGTCCAGACTCGATTATTCACACGACAGACCGCCGTCATATCGCTGGAATATTGCTGAGTGCGGCGTTAAACAACAAACCAACCAACCGACCATCGAAAATACATATTGAAAAATGGTTCGAGAAAAGTGGGAGTGTCGACATCAGAGTGAGTGAGTTGGAATTCGGCATTATTTAAGCTTTTCCTTGAAATACACTTCACATCTCACACGCTTTATATCAAAATGTTGATTTGATTGACGTAAGTGACATTTCACTGTATTATTACTTTAAGCTGACAGCTGTCGTGACGATGTTACTATGCCTGTCGTAAAAGGCGACTGACGGGATCGGGTGGTCAGGCTCGCTGAATTTGTTGATGCGTGTCACCAATTGCGTAGATCGATGCTCATGATGTCAATCATTTGATTGTTTGGTCCAGACTAGATTATATTTTTCAGACCGCCGTCATATAGTTGGAATATTGCATAGTGCAACGTTGAACAACAAACAAACGAACGAACAAATACGTTTACAGCAAAGTAAATATCAGACATTTAGCTGTTTTTAGTTTCGACTGCAGCCTATTTTTTGTTTTAAAAAATCAATATTGCCCATTGCGGATGAACTAATTCTGCACAATCAAAACTCTCTTCTGAAAAAGGTTTTGTGCTTATATTGTTGCGGAAGGACGCGACTCGGAACTCGAAATCCGTTATATCGATATGTAAAACGATTTTACGTTTAGTCCAGGTAGAACCTGATCGCCACCATTACCCAATATCTCCACTTCGTCTGTGTCAAAGTCAGGCCATAACTTGAAATTCTATTGAAACAAGGACTTTGAGTTTAATAGAGTTGTCGCCCGGAGGCCATATAACAACCTCAATAAAACTCAATGTTAAATGTTCCTAACAAATTATCCACATAGCACGTGACACGCTCAAACCTGTTTGTGTGTAGCGCAAATAAACTATAATTTCTGTCCTGTACTAAAATGCTTCACTTCACATTAAGGTACTTATACATTCCACACACACCCGACATTCACAACATATAAACTGTCGGGCATAACATTTACTAAGGTAGCTGTGGTGACCTGTTGACAACAGATAGAGGTTTGACAATCTACGTTAAATGGAATTAGGAACACATTGTGCTCGTTAGGTGTTCAAGCGATCAGCCGTGGCACCGCTCAAGGTAAATCGCGTTGTGTGTGACCCCATGCGGTGTTGGCGTAGGCGAGTTGACACCAACGTGATGAAGCAGGTTTGTAAACAACTCATGCGTTGAGGGGCAACTCTGAAGTGACTTATAGAAAATGATTAAAGACGTGTTTACATTCCACGAGGTATATTGATATAATTAAGGCGTTACAGCTTTCGTATTTGCGTTGAAATGTTAGAAGTAACCTTTTATCAGCGTAGTCATATGCGTGTCCTTGGACAATTTGTAATTTGTCACTAAATAGAGATATATAAATATATATAAATAACTCGAGGTGAAAATTATATGAATGGATTACTAAAACCAGGTGTTCGTGAAAAGAGGGAGGTTAAGGGGTGGCACGGGTGGCCCAGTCGTCTAAGGCGCCGCGATTCGCTGTGCAGAGTTGCGTCCCTTGGGCACGCCAGAAACCTATGATTGTGGGTTCGAATCCCGGTTCACCCCGATTATGTTTCTCGTTTTGTCAGCACCATACCCGTGCTCGTGTGTTTCACCGAAGTGGTAAACGTCTGAAACCTGCATCACTTCGGGCTTTCCACCCACATTAAGCTTACACGCCGCGATATAACTGGAATATTTTTAAAAGTGTCGTTAAACCCAACTCACTCACTCACTCGTGGAAAGGGCAAGCATTTTCAGCTCTACCGGTAGAAATATAACTGTCAATAACATAAGGAGTGTTTGTTTGAATAAATATTAGCAATCTGCGCTTGGTGTCGCGGAATAAACCTGCCCCGTACAAACTCGACCCGAGAGAACTCTTACCTGTAAAGGCTCCCTGGTGGATATATTTCTCGCCCCCTTCGGTACAAAGTCTACCACCCAATATTTAAATTAAAATATTTGACAGGCAGTGCCGTATGTTATGGGTGTCTGTATCGAATTTATGTTATATTTAATTTTAATTGAATGTACAAATTCTGACAATAAAACAAGTGGCAGGTGGGGGATGGGGGATTGAGGAGTATTTTCTCTGGGGGGAATTTTATTACGAAGGGAAAGCGAGAATTTATTTCACTGTGATAAAAAACACTGGTTTAATCTTTTTGAATAAAAACATTATTAATTCATTAAGATTCCTATTTTCTAGAATAAGTTTAAGCTATATCGTATTAGGAGCTTTCATCCTACAAGTTCTTACAGATAAATCTACTAGGGCTGGGACAGGTAACTCGGGTACTCGGGACGGGTGGGTACTGAGTAGGACCCGGGTACCCACAGGACTACCCGGACACGTTGTTAGTCACGTGATATATTGTTTAATGACAAAAAAGTATCTAAAACTCTATGTTTAAACTACAAGTCACTAACGTTCGCAGTTCTTCCTGACTACTACGCCCATTCCTTCTGACTTTTATATGTTTGAATGAAAATAAAACTTCAGTCAACTTCAGTGTATACACCAGATAGTTTCATACATGTATCTAAACACATTTTACCAGAGCTGCGGTCAAACTTTTCCCAATCGGACAGTTTAATTTTTTTTTTTTGTACCTACCTCTTGAGACCTACAGCGGGTACCCGGGTAGGGTCGGGTAATAGCGGGATGGGGACCCGGGTAGTAAATTTGGACTCGTCCCAGCCCTAAAATCTACTATTAACGGCTTTTTTTATCATTATTACAGCAGGAAGAAATTGGTTCAGAAAGAGAAATTACAAAATTTTGTTTAACCACCCGTATCTCGTAATATGTAAGTCTTTGACACTTCCCAATATGTTTCTTTGAATATTACAAGTCTTTGAATTTCTTTTGTCAGGTGAAAAAGACAGGCTTATAATATTGCTATATTTGTGTACATCCATGTAATTTAACGTCAATTTGATATATGGGTTCGTAAAATATCGTCATCGAAATAGCGATTTTACGGCTGCTTCGTATACAGACACCACAACCGCCAGTGCTTGAAAGCAAGAAGTGAATGTGTGAGTGCGTTCGATTTAATGCCGCTTTAAACAGTATTCAGTTATATCACAGCACGACAGGCTGGTGTCTGAGGAAAGTAGTGTAGGTCTCAGATTACTTTGGTGAAATCTGGAAACATAATCAGGCAAACCGGGATTCGAACCCACGATCAAAGGTTTCTGGTACGCAAGAGGGAAGCAACTCTGCTTGGCTAATTGCGGCGCCTTAGACGACTGGGCTTTACAGAGATAATATCAATTGTGTTTTCATATCGTAAACATCATATTCATGTATTATAAAGGCATTCGGCGAGATTAATTCATACATTAATACTCGTAATATATGATATTTTTACTGCCAATTGCAAGACTGAACCCGTGGAAATGCCAAATTAGAATTGGCCCAAGCAAACCCATGCTGGTCGTAAGGGGTGGCTTAGTGGATCGGGTATTTGACGGCTCCGATCGTTGCACATATTAATCACAGGACTTTCTGGTCCAGACGCAATTATTTACAGGCCGCCGCCATACAGCTAGAATATTGATGAGTTGGCGTAAAACAACAAACAAAATTCGGAAAAGGGTGTTCCCGTGCCAAAGGGGTCCCGATTAACGAGTTTCACTCCACATAATAGAAAAACACAGCAGACTCTAATCAACGTCCGTTATTCTCGGGTTTTATTTTAAGAAGGAACAAACGTTTTCTGAAAACTGTATGTATTTTCCTCTTGTCCCATTTGCTTGAAAAAGGCCTTTGAATAAGATCTAAGGGACTCATACAATGAAACAGACTTTACTAATAACATCGACAATACACCTCCGGGCAATACTTGTCCCTACAGCTCAGTCGACACCAAGCGTCCAGCTGTGGAATCCCTTGCCAGTTGTTGATACCGTGGCATCTGCTGTAGTCGAGGTGGCCAGCCGTGGCGGGTGGGCGGGACGGGGTGGCCTGGGGTGGCACCCAAGGAGTGACCGAGAGGAATGGGTGTTGCCCTGGAGTAATCGGTGGTCTGAGGGTCGGGGCGCGGGTAGGCGCTGGCGTTCTTTTAGTGGAGGGCATGAAGAACAACGTCGGCTTTGCTGTGGCTGCTGGATGTGCTGTGGCTGCTGGCTGTGCTGTTGCAGGGGCTGCGGTGTGATGTCCCCAAGGACCGGGACAGTCGCACTGGACGGATGGACAGTTACCCTTAGCGCAGTTCTCTATACACCACTTATCCAGATCTGGAAATCCAAACCATAGATTGACACCATGACATGATTGGAATATCGCTGGAATATGTCCCGCGGGGCGAGCCGTTGGCTTGGGCGTGGCCATGGGTGTGACGACGGGTCGTGCAGTTGACCTGCTGCCCAGTGTTGATCTTGGGCCAAATGCGTCCGGGCAGTCGCATACAGCTGTGGGACAGTTTCCTTTTTGACAGTTGGATTTGCACCACTGGTCAAGCTGGTCAAGACCTGCCAAGTTGTTAACGCCATGACACGTGCTGAAGATACCATAATTTGGAGCAGTAACCGGCGGTAGCTGCGTCACGACAATGGGTCTGGAGGTGGGCCTCGGGGTGAAGACTCGGGGCGGGGTTGTCGTCACTGGACGGAGGGTGGGAGGTGGTGTCTGCGGCCCACCGGTTGTCACGGCAACGGGAGCGGGCGTCAGAGATCCACCACAGTCGCCGATGCAGATGTCAGAGCAGCTGAAGAACTCTTCCTGAGGCCCGCATCCCTTGCATTCGTGGCTGTGAGAGTCCCGGCCCTCGTTGTTGCCTACAAAATAGTGATTCAATTAACGTTCTTGCAACGTCTACGATAAAGTGAGTGAGTGAGTTTGGTTTAACGCCGCTTTTAACAGTATTCCAGTTATATCACGGCGTGTCAGCTTAATGTGGGTGGAAAGCCCGAAGTAATGCAGGTCTCAGACGTTTACCACTTCGGTGAAACCCACGAGCACGGGTGTGGTGCTGACAAACCTAGAAACATAATCGGGGCAAACCGGGATTCGAACCCACAATCATAGGTTTCTGGCGTGCCCAAGGGACGCAACTCCGCACAGCGAATCGCGGGGCCTAAGACGACTGGGCCACCCGTGCCCCCGTCTACGATAAAACCTTCCGGGGATTAATTAGCAAATGAAGAGCCTTAGCATTTTTCTTTTGTGTTCAATGCCAAAACATAATGAACTTGTTTTTGTTTGTTTGTTGTTCCTTGAAGCAGAAAGCAATATCCCATCTATACTACTCAACATATGAGAGAGATAAAGGGCTACTACTTATTGTTACTGGAGGGCGGAAACTGGTGTCTTACTTTCATTATACCACCCCCGTGGTCTAGTGATAGAGCGTTCGTCCGGCAAGCGGAATAGCGGGGGTTCGATCCCCGATTAAGTCATACCAAACGACGTTTAAAGATCGTGCTTGTTGTTACCCTGACTGGTCGGCTCGGAGTCAGTATAATGTGTCTGAGTGGGATATTCATGTTAAACTGCGGCATGGTATCTCAGTGGGCTAGCAGTATAAATCGGCATCAGTCCGGACTGGTACAAGCAGACACACGTGCGTGCACGTCGCTATAATAGTGCAATAATCGTGTACGCGACGATAAATCCCGTTTCACCTCCTTACTTTTATTTGTTTTTAATTAAGCTGAAAATACTTCAGTTGTATTACACCATCTCCAATCAGCCAATCACACACACACTCAGAATACATCAGCCAATCACACACACACACTCAGTATACATCAGCCAATCACACACACTCTCAGAATACATCAGCCAATCACACACACACTTAGTATACATCAGCCAATCACACACACACACTCAGTATACATCAGCCAATCACACACACACTCAGTATACATCAGCCAATCACACACACTCTCAGAATACATCAGCCAATCACACACACACTTAGTATACATCAGCCATTCACACACACACACACTCAGTATACATCAGCCAATCACACACACACTCAGTATACATCAGCCAATCACACACACACTCAGTATACATCAGCCAATCACACACACACTCAGTATACATCAGCCAATCACACACACTCTCAGAATACATCAGCCAATCACACACACACACTCAGTATACATCAGCCAATCACACACACACTCAGTATGCATCAGCCAATCACACACACACTCAGAATACATCAGCCAATCACACACACTCTCAGAATACATCAGCCAATCACACACACACTTAGTATACATCAGCCAATCACACACACACACTCAGTATACATCAGCCAATCACACACACACTCAGTATACATCAGCCAATCACACACACTCTCAGAATACATCAGCCAATCACACACACATACTCAGTATACATCAGCCAATCACACACACACTCAGTATACATCAGCCAATCACACACACACTCAGAATACATCAGCCAATCACACACACTCTCAGAATACATCAGCCAATCACACACACTCTCAGAATACATCAGCCAATCACACACACACTCAGTATACATCAGCCAATCACACACACACTCAGAATACATCAGCCAATCACACATTCTCAGAATACATCAGCCAATCACACACACACTCAGTATACATCAGCCAATCACACACACTCTCAGAATACATCAGCCAATCACACACACACTTAGTATACATCAGCCAATCACACACACACACTCAGTATACATCAGCCAATCACACACACACTCAGTATACATCAGCCAATCACACACACACTCAGTATACATCAGCCAATCACACACACACTCAGTATACATCAGCCAATCACACACACTCTCAGAATACATCAGCCAATCACACACACACACTCAGTATACATCAGCCAATCACACACACACTCAGTATACATCAGCCAATCACACACACACTCAGAATACATCAGCCAATCACACACACTCTCAGAATACATCAGCCAATCACACACACACTCAGAATACATCAGCCAATCACACACACACTCAGTATACATCAGCCAATCACACACACACTCAGAATACATCAGCCAATCACACACACTCTCAGAATACATCAGCCAATCACACACACTCTCAGAATACATCAGCCAATCACACACACACTCAGTATACATCAGCCAATCACACACACACTCAGAATACATCAGCCAATCACACACACTCTCAGAATACATCAGCCAATCACACACACACTCAGTATACATCAGCCAATCACACACACTCTCAGAATACATCAGCCAATCACACACACACACTCAGTATACATCAGCCAATCACACACACACTCAGTATACATCAGCCAATCACACACACACTCAGAATACATCAGCCAATCACACACACACTCAGAATACATCAGCCAATCACACACATTCTCAGAATACATCAGCCAATCACACACACTCTCAGAATACATCAGCCAATCACACACACACTCAGTATACATCAGCCAATCACACACACACTCAGAATACATCAGCCAATCACACACACTCTCAGAATACATCAGCCAATCACACACACACTCAGAATACATCAGCCAATCACACACACACTCAGAATACATCAGCCAATCACACACACACTCAGAATACATCAGCCAATTACACACACTCAGTATACATCAGCCAATCACACACACACGCAGAATACATCAGCCAATCACACACACACACTCAGAATACATCAGCCAATCACACACACACACTCAGAATACATCAGCCAATCACACACACACTCAGTATACATCAGCCAATCACACACACACACTCAGAATACATCAGCCAATCACACACACACTCAGAATACATCAGCCAATCACACACACTCTCAGAATACATCAGCCAATCACACACACACTCAGTATACATCAGCCAATCACACACACTCTCAGAATACATCAGCCAATCACACACACACACTCAGTATACATCAGCCAATCACACACACACTCAGTATACATCAGCCAATCACACACACACTCAGAATACATCAGCCAATCACACACACACTCAGAATACATCAGCCAATCACACACATTCTCAGAATACATCAGCCAATCACACACACTCTCAGAATACATCAGCCAATCACACACACACTCAGTATACATCAGCCAATCACACACACACTCAGAATACATCAGCCAATCACACACACTCTCAGAATACATCAGCCAATCACACACACACTCAGAATACATCAGCCAATCACACACACACTCAGAATACATCAGCCAATCACACACACACTCAGAATACATCAGCCAATTACACACACTCAGTATACATCAGCCAATCACACACACACGCAGAATACATCAGCCAATCACACACACACACTCAGAATACATCAGCCAATCACACACACACACTCAGAATACATCAGCCAATCACACACACACTCAGTATACATCAGCCAATCACACACACACACTCAGAATACATCAGCCAATCACACACACACTCAGAATACATCAGCCAATCACACACACACACTCAGAATACATCAGCCAATCACACACACACACTCAGAATACATCAGCCAATCACACACACACTCAGTATACATCAGCCAATCACACACACACACTCAGAATACATCAGCCAATCACACACACACTCAGAATTCATCAGCCAATCACACACACTCAGTATACATCAGCCAATCACACACACTCTCAGAATACATCAGCCAATCACACACACTCTCAGAATACATCAGCCAATCACACACACACTCAGTATACATCAGCCAATCACACACACACTCAGAATACATCAGCCAATCACACACACTCTCAGAATACATCAGCCAATCACACACACTCTCAGAATACATCAGCCAATCACACACACACTCAGTATACATCAGCCAATCACACACACACTCAGAATACATCAGCCAGTCACACACACTCTCAGAATACATCAGCCAATCACACACACACTCAGTATACATCAGCCAATCACACACACACTCAGTATACATCAGCCAATCACACACACACTCAGTATACATCAGCCAATCACACACACTCTCAGAATACATCAGCCAATCACACACACACACTCAGTATACATCAGCCAATCACACACACACTCAGAATACATCAGCCAATCACACACATTCTCAGAATACATCAGCCAATCACACACACTCTCAGAATACATCAGCCAATCACACACACACTCAGTATACATCAGCCAATCACACACACACTTAGAATACATCAGCCAATCACACACACACTTAGTATACATCAGCCAATCACACACACACACTCAGTATACATCAGCCAATCACACACACACTCAGTATACATCAGCCAATCACACACACACTCAGTATACATCAGCCAATCACACACAAACTCAGTATACATCAGCCAATCACACACACTCTCAGAATACATCAGCCAATCACACACACACACTTAGTATACATCAGCCAATCACACACACACTCAGTATACATCAGCCAATCACACACACACTCAGAATACATCAGCCAATCACACACACTCTCAGAATACATCAGCCAATCACACACACACTCAGAATACATCAGCCAATCACACACACACTCAGTATACATCAGCCAATCACACACACACTCAGAATACATCAGCCAATCACACACACTCTCAGAATACATCAGCCAATCACACACACTCTCAGAATACATCAGCCAATCACACACACACTCAGTATACATCAGCCAATCACACACACACTCAGAATACATCAGCCAATCACACACACTCTCAGAATACATCAGCCAATCACACACACACTCAGTATACATCAGCCAATCACACACACACTCAGTATACATCAGCCAATCACACACACGCTCAGTATACATCAGCCAATCACACACACTCTCAGAATACATCAGCCAATCACACACACACACTCAGTATACATCAGCCAATCACACACACACTCAGTATACATCAGCCAATCACACACACACTCAGAATACATCAGCCAATCACACACATTCTCAGAATACATCAGCCAATCACACACACTCTCAGAATACATCAGCCAATCACACACACACTCAGTATACATCAGCCAATCACACACACACTCAGAATACATCAGCCAATCACACACACTCTCAGAATACATCAGCCAATCACACACACACTCAGAATACATCAGCCAATCACACACACACTCAGTATACATCAGCCAATCACACACACACTCAGAATACATCAGCCAATCACACACACTCTCAGAATACATCAGCCAATCACACACACACTCAGTATACATCAGCCAATCACACACACACTCAGTATACATCAGCCAATCACACACACTCTCAGTATACATCAGCCAATCACACACACACTCAGAATACATCAGCCAATCACACACACACTCAGAATACATCAGCCAATTACACACACTCAGTATACATCAGCCAATCACACACACACGCAGAATACATCAGCCAATCACACACACACACTCAGAATACATCAGCCAATCACACACACACACACTCAGAATACATCAGCCAATCACACACACACTCAGTATACATCAGCCAATCACACACACACACTCAGAATACATCAGCCAATCACACACACACTCAGAATACATCAGCCAATCACACACACACACTCAGAATACATCAGCCAATCACACACACACACTCAGAATACATCAGCCAATCACACACACACTCAGAATACATCAGCCAATCACACACACACACTCAGAATACATCAGCCAATCACACACACTCAGTATACATCAGCCAATCACACACACTCTCAGAATACATCAGCCAATCACACACACTCTCAGAATACATCAGCCAATCACACACACACTCAGTATACATCAGCCAATCACACACACACTCAGAATACATCAGCCAATCACACACACTCTCAGAATACATCAGCCAATCACACACACTCTCAGAATACATCAGCCAATCACACACACACTCAGTATACATCAGCCAATCACACACACACTCAGAATACATCAGCCAGTCACACACACTCTCAGAATACATCAGCCAATCACACACACACTCAGTATACATCAGCCAATCACACACACACTCAGTATACATCAGCCAATCACACACACACTCAGTATACATCAGCCAATCACACACACTCTCAGAATACATCAGCCAATCACACACACACACTCAGTATACATCAGCCAATCACACACACACTCAGAATACATCAGCCAATCACACACATTCTCAGAATACATCAGCCAACCACACACACTCTCAGAATACATCAGCCAATCACACACACACTCAGTATACATCAGCCAATCACACACACACTCAGAATACATCAGCCAATCACACACACTCTCAGAATACATCAGCCAATCACACACACACTCAGAATACATCAGCCAATCACACACACACTCAGTATACATCAGCCAATCACACACACACTCAGAATACATCAGCCAATCACACACACTCTCAGAATACATCAGCCAATCACACACACTCTCAGAATACATCAGCCAATCACACACACACTCAGTATACATCAGCCAATCACACACACACTCAGAATACATCAGCCAATCACACACACTCTCAGAATACATCAGCCAATCACACACACACTCAGAATACATCAGCCAATCACACACACACTCAGTATACATCAGCCAATCACACACACGCTCAGTATACATCAGCCAATCACACACACTCTCAGAATACATCAGCCAATCACACACACACACTCAGTATACATCAGCCAATCACACACACACTCAGTATACATCAGCCAATCACACACACACTCAGAATACATCAGCCAATCACACACATTCTCAGAATACATCAGCCAATCACACACACTCTCAGAATACATCAGCCAATCACACACACACTCAGTATACATCAGCCAATCACACACACACTCAGAATACATCAGCCAATCACACACACTCTCAGAATACATCAGCCAATCACACACACACTCAGAATACATCAGCCAATCACACACACACTCAGTATACATCAGCCAATCACACACACACACTCAGAATACATCAGCAAATCACACACACGCTCAGAATACATCAGCCAATCACACACACACTCAGTATACATCAGCCAATCACACACACACTCAGTATACATCAGCCAATCACACACACTCTCAGTATACATCAGCCAATCACACACACACTCAGAATACATCAGCCAATCACACACACACTCAGAATACATCAGCCAATTACACACACTCAGTATACATCAGCCAATCACACACACACGCAGAATACATCAGCCAATCACACACACACACTCAGAATACATCAGCCAATCACACACACACACTCAGAATACATCAGCCAATCACACACACACTCAGTATACATCAGCCAATCACACACACACACTCAGAATACATCAGCCAATCACACACACACTCAGAATACATCAGCCAATCACACACACACACTCAGAATACATCAGCCAATCACACACACACACTCAGAATACATCAGCCAATCACACACACACTCAGAATACATCAGCCAATCACACACACACACTCAGAATACATCAGCCAATCACACACACTCAGTATACATCAGCCAATCACACACACTCTCAGAATACATCAGCCAATCACACACACTCTCAGAATACATCAGCCAATCACACACACACTCAGTATACATCAGCCAATCACACACACACTCAGAATACATCAGCCAATCACACACACTCTCAGAATACATCAGCCAATCACACACACTCTCAGAATACATCAGCCAATCACACACACACTCAGTATACATCAGCCAATCACACACACACTCAGAATACATCAGCCAGTCACACACACTCTCAGAATACATCAGCCAATCACACACACACTCAGTATACATCAGCCAATCACACACACACTCAGTATACATCAGCCAATCACACACACACTCAGTATACATCAGCCAATCACACACACTCTCAGAATACATCAGCCAATCACACACACTCAGTATACATCAGCCAATCACACACACACTCAGAATACATCAGCCAATCACACACATTCTCAGAATACATCAGCCAATCACACACACTCTCAGAATACATCAGCCAATCACACACACACTCAGTATACATCAGCCAATCACACACACACTCAGAATACATCAGCCAATCACACACACTCTCAGAATACATCAGCCAATCACACACACCCTCAGAATACATCAGCCAATCACACACACACTCAGTATACATCAGCCAATCACACACACACTCAGAATACATCAGCCAATCACACACACTCTCAGAATACATCAGCCAATCACACACACACTCAGTATACATCAGCCAATCACACACACACTCAGTATACATCAGCCAATCACACACACACTCAGTATACATCAGCCAATCACACACACACTCAGAATACATCAGCCAATCACACACACACACACTCAGAATACATCAGCCAATCACACACACACTCAGAATACATCAGCCAATCACACACACTCAGTATACATCAGCCAATCACACACACACTCAGAATACATCAGCCAATCACACACACACACTCAGAATACATCAGCCAATCACACACACACACTCAGAATACATCAGCCAATCACACACACACTCAGTATACATCAGCCAATCACACACAAGTCCCACACTCAGACTACCCCTATCAAGTGTTGAGAAGTATCTATCACTAAGGCTTCTAACTTGTCAGTGACACAAAACAAAAATCATCATTTTCTAGTGGTTTAAGCGTTGACTCGTCGCACCTAAGAACAAGTTTAACTCCTCAAACGGGTACACCCATCGACCCGGGGCAAGAGAGTTAACTGACAATGAAAGTCCAGTTTCCACCCTTGCCGAACTAGGCTGGTATAATGGAGTTACATTTTGGCTGGAATAACGAGTCTATGCATAGTCCAATCAAAATCGCGCAACGAAATCGAAATCCGGTTCGTAAAATGTAATGCAGATTTCTGTCGATTGCAGGACTTGCAAAGCATGTGCACCGCCGACTCGTTATCAACAGATATTTTCCAAATCTTTTCATGTTTTTAATCAAGGTTCCTCGCGTGATTTGATGCATTTCGCGATGTAAGTCCCGTTTTATTACAATATAGATCTCGATTATCGACTTGGCGTTTTGTTTGAAGCAAATGCAAAGTGATACGAGAGGTGGAATCTGATTGGTCAATAGGAGAGGCTTTGAAGGGACATAACTCGTAATAACCCCTGGTGGCGCTCAGATCGAGCGAGGAATTCCAGCCTAGTTCGGCAAGGGTGGAAACTGGAATTTTAAAGTCAGTTAACTCTCTGCCGCGGGAAGATGGGATGCACCTGAAGCCCATTCTTGGTATGACAAGCAGAAACAATTCCAAGAGCACCATAAAACCCAACTCCTGTGTTGGATTTGTGTATTACCTGCCCGCCATTTCCACTGAAGAACACACTGGGAGCACGTCAATCCCGCCGGAAGTGACGCAGTGAGGTAGAGTTTGCCATACTGGGAGCTTTGTAGATAATATCTAGTGCCGTTGGCGTTCTTCAAATGAAGGAGGTTCTGGTCTAAGCATGCCTGAGTGACAACCTTCTTGACGTCATCATTCTTACAAAGCCGGAACTCGAAGTAGCCCTGATGATTGGCGGTGATCTCAATAGTGATGGGGATGTCCTGCCCCGTCTTGTACCCCCGGGCAATGATCCCAAGTCCGTATTTGCCCCCAGCTTCGTTATCGCGAGGAGAGGGTTGTTCATAGGGATCTCCGCACACTCCGCATTTACCGTTCTCGGCATACCATTGGTTCTGGAAATAATAAGCATGCACAAGTTCATGAACTTCATAGCACTGATGGTGATACCCAGATATCTCCCGAAGGCACTTTCAAGCATATACATTTCAGGTAGTTTTTCCCCATGGTACGCCGTATTGCTGGAATATTGCTAAAAGTGGCGTAAAACATAATTCACTCACCCCATGGTACTTCCGGGTTAGAAATAGTACCGGTCCTATCAACCTCTGATGCACTAAGAAGCGATTTAACGGCTCGAAAAGAAATTGTCCCAGAAAATGTTTGAAAAAAATTATCATGTTTCTCACTGTTGATTGGTCGCCACAAAAATGACATTGTTCCAAGATCTTTTTAAAAAATTAGGCTTTTTTTAAATATCTGGGTTTGCAGCTGTAGCTGAAAAAATGTTAGTGAGTGGGTGAGTATGGTTTTACGCCGCTTTTAGCAATATTCCAGCAATATCACGGCGGGGGACACCAGAAATGGGCTTCACACATTGTACCCATGTCGGGAATCGAACCCGGGTCTTCGGCATGGCGAGCGAACGCTTTAACCACTAGGGAAAAAATATTTAGCTTCCATACAAAATCTCAATCTCTATCTCATCCTTGTTGGAATATTGCTGAGCGCCGAGTTAAACAACGCCCAAGAAATCCTTGTTTATGAAATATGTCTGGAAACTGTGAACCTACATGATTTGATGTGACTGATCCCGCTGTGTTTCGGGTTTTGCAATGTCAGCATACTGTGGTTGGGACGGAACACCAGTCCTCAAACCAGTTTTATTTACCTCCTCCGCCCTACCACCCCGAGCGGCACAGACAGTCCGATAGATAACTCAACGACTCAGACATGGCATTGCCAAGTAACACCTCGAGACATTTTCACAGACAATTTTAAAATTCAGTGCGAAAAGCCAAAGGTGACCCGATGACTCAGTTGATTGCATGTCATTGTTTGTCAAATAACTGCATTGATGGATGCTTATGGTGTTATATACTGGATTGTCTGATTGGCTCGATCATTTGCAGACCACCGTATATTGAGTGCAGCGTTTAGGGACATGCAAACAAATAAATGTCGGATGTCAATCGTGTTTTAAGATATCTTAAGAGCGCCATACGACTCTTGCTCAAACATCCAATGCCTCAGCTCAAATTTTAAAAAGTTTTATGGTGGAGATGTGGAGGACATTTCCAAATATGACTCATCAATGTCTGAGAAAAATTATATCAGACGCAGTTTCCTATTTTGACATGCATCATTATACTCCCGTGTTGTTTCAGGTGAACACTTGACATGCCTTTGCATGTGTTGGGACCACCGGTGAGGCAGGATAAGCTAACATCTGTTATCATCACTCTTTGACAGTGATTCAAAAACATATGCTCATGATAAGGTCGGAATCGTACAATGAACCCTGCATTTACTAGATACTTCTTAGGAATTTAGATTTTTTGTTTGTTTTGTTTGTTGTTTAACGCCGCACTCAGCAATATTCCAGCTTTATGACGGCGGTCTGTAAATAATCGAGTCTGGACCAGACAATCCAGTGATTAATATCATAAACATCGATCAAGGCAATTTGGATCGATGACATGCATCAACCTAGTCAGCGAGCCTGACCACCCGATCCCGTTAGTCGCCTTTTACGACAAGCATAGTCACCTTTTACGGCAAGCATGGGTTGCTGAAGACCTATTCTACCCCGGAATCTTCACGGGTCATGAAATTAGAACTTATATATTATTATTATTATTATTATTATTATTATTATTATTATTATATAAGTATTAATTTATCAGGTGCGTAAGGTCGGCTTATGAATCACCTCGAAAGGTCCAGAAACGGCTTCTTCACCTTTTTCTTTTACACCTACTCACGAATTATTCATCCAGAACTGTATATTCATAACCAAGTGTTATTTTGAATCATAAACAGCAAAACCCTTTTGAAAATACATGAGTTGTCTCAACTTCATCAAGGCCGAGCTTGATGTGACTTTTTTTCACCTATGAAACGAGGCACGTGTCATATTAAACCTACGATACAAGATGGTTTTACTTATTGCGATATAGCATCTGAGTGAATATGGTTTTACGCCGCTTTTAGCAATATTCCAGCAATATATCATGGCAGGGGACACCAGAAATGGGCTTCACACATTGTATCCATGTGGGGAATCGAACCCGGTTCGTCGGCGTGATGAGCGAACACTTGATCCACCAGGCTACCCGACCGCCCCTATAGCATCTCAGTGCACAAGCACAATAAAACCGGCATATGTCAGGGCAAGTACAAGTAGCCACACACACACATGTGCATTGACGTTTAACCCTATTTCTACCCTGCAGGTTGTTATTTTGGGGGATTGGGGGATTGATTCTCCGTAGTCCATCATTTGATTTTTACAGGTCGTCGTCGCAAAGGCAGGAGAACTGCTGTGCGGCGTCTGGCAACAAACAAACACTTACTTTTTTATGCAAATTGTGTGCGTGGCAGTGCTGCTGGTAGCGCAGGACATGCTTACCCTCTTGCCAAACACCTGGTGTCATCCCTGATTTTCACTGATCAATCTGTAGATATTTCACGGGGGCGATGATACACATGGTAAGGCATAAGAACCGTGAAGACCCGGGGTAGAATAGGTCTTCGGAAACCCATGCTTGCCGTAAAAGGCGACTATGCTTGTCGTCAGAAGCGACTAACGGGATCGGGTGGTCAGGCTCGCTGACTTGGTTGAAGCATGTCATCGATCCCAATTGCGTGGATCGATGCTCATGATGTCAATCACTGGATTGTCTGGTCCAGACTCGATTACTTACAGACCGCCGTCATATAGCTGTAATATTGCTGAGTGCGGCGTCAAACAACAAACCAACCTAACACAATGGCTGTAGTTCAAAACGTGGTATTTGTACTAAATCCTCAGCCTAACTGACATCACAATGACAACATAAACATTTGTACATGACATCACAATCAAGAAGAACATATATACATACCGTAACTAGGGGTACATAATCATACATCTCATCACGTGTGAGATGGAAGGCACTGTTTACAAAGGGGCATAACTCGTGTAGCCCTTGTAGCTGGAATATTGCTGAGTGCGGCGTTAAACGACAAACAAACAATGTAAGGCGTAAATTACTGACAACAATATGTAAGAAATCTACCCACACCTACCATGAGGGAAAGTGAAAACTTCAAATATCAGCCCATTGAGGAATGTTTCTTTTGTTATTCCCTTAGGGACCCGGGGCAGACTGTGTCCCCAGCACCCCATTGCTGGTCGTAAAAGGCGGCTTAATTGGGAAACAAGGAATTCCGATTCGTCTTATGCTGTCGTAAGGGGCTACTAAATGGATCGGGTGGTCAGGTTCGCTGATTGGTTGGCGTTTCATAGTACCCCGACGGCGTAGATTTCTGTTCATAATATCAATCACTGGAATGTCTTGTCCAGTGTCGATTATATACAGGACGCCGTCATATAGCTGGAATGTTGCTGAGTGTGGCGTTGGGCACTAAACACACACACACACACACACACACACACACACACACACACACACAGAGTGTAAATGGTAACAATATGGACATACCAATAGCCAAGTTGGAATTAGAATGTGCATAAATGGTAAAGCCATCGGTGATGGCGAGCTACTTCAACTTGTCAGATTAAATGTTTTAAGTGGAAATCTAATTTGATTGATGTATTACTCGAAGGCATATCCGTTTCATCTCAAGTGTTCCATCAATAAGGGAATTATCAACAGTCGAAGTTCAACGGTGCTGAAACGTCTCACATGAAAATATATACGAGCGGTGTTTTCTATTTCTCATTTTCACCTCCAAGTGTCCCAATTATGAAACTTCGAGAATCTGTCCGTGATTTATGTGTGAAGTAAAACAAAAATATCTTTCGGAGGACAATTCATTATCAGTGAGTGAGTGGATGGATGAGTATGTTTTTACGCCGCTTTTAGCAATATTCCGTCAATATCGTGACGGGGAATTCCAGAAATGGGCTTCACACATTGTACTCATGTGGTGAATCGAACCCGGGTCTTCGCCGCAATTCATTCTCAGAGAAATATGTTCCTTTGGCGTTTTGATAAAAAAAACACACACAAAAAACACTTGAAGGACTGTTGTAGCATATTTGAAACTTAACAAACAGTAACAAAACTATAATTTGATTTGATTGTACCTGTGATATAATTTCACGACTTATGTTATTCGAACCAAGGCAGAACGTAAAACAGGCGGTAGTTTTTCGTCCTTATTAGAGTCTCATCCGATAGACATGTGGTGTCCTTTGATTGGAACTGGATTGGAAGGTTTAACAAGATTAACTTTCGTGTGCTTTCAATAGAACTCGGTTACCTGCAGATATTTTAACTGCGCTAATTTGAATTCGTAACAGCGTGAGGTTTCCGATGTTAAAATTAGAGTGGTACAATGAGCATTGACTCCTCATGAAATACCAGTGCATACAGAGGCGTTGGGTAGTCAAGTGGTTAAATTGTGCACGCGTCTCACACCAAAAAACACCGGGTTCGATCCCGACATACGCGCAATATTTTAAGCTCAATCTTGGCGTCGTCCACCATGCTGACCGTATTTCCTCTAATAGAAACTGGATCAATTGTTCAGTGCAAAAAATAGAAGCCGGGCCTCTAATAGACGCCGGGTCGATCAATTGAAACAATTAGTTATCCCTTTTTGGGGAAATGGGGGTATTAATAGAAGCCGGGCCTCTAATTGACGCCGGGTCAAAGGCTTGTCCGAAATACATAGAAGCCCGGGCGTCTAATAGAGGAAATACGGTACGCTAAAATATATTGCAAAACGCAGCGAAAAAACAAACCCACTCACTCGCTAATACTTACAGAGAATCCACCACAGTTGAGTGCATTGTCGTTGTAGTTGATGGGTACCTTGAACCCCCATCTCCACATAGTTGACCGTCCCGGGGGGTCATACACATACCCATGGCCCCACGCCCCTCCGACCACGCCTAGAATCACGACAACCGCTGCTAGCATTGTTCAGCCGTGGAAGTCCCAGGTGAGACTGCTGAAATCCTGTCCTTTTGCGTCCCTTATCAAACCAAATGGCGGCGTCGTTATCGGCGTTCGTGACCCTACCCTGAACCTCCAGAAATGTATGTCTATATTGAAAGCTTTCAATAACCAGATACCGACTGATTTTCATAATGTCACATCAACGCAGGCATTTTTCATTGATAAACATGCTTAATCCCTTAACCTGGGCCTGTGTTACAAGTATCTAGTTTTCAATATCGCTGTCTGTGGTATATACATGCCAATTGGTACGCTGTCGCTATGTATAAGGTCGAATTTCTTCAGCAATTCTTTTGTGGCCTTTGATGTGTTGTTTAATTTTATTTATTTATCAATATTTCAGCAATTGTGGTTACAAACCAAAAATGCTTCACTTGGTGGAAATCGTAACTGCTTTTTTGTGAAACTTTTATCAATAACTGAATGGCAAAATAAATCTATACCATTCAGTTGACTTTATCACATGTTCAATTTGCAGGTGAAAATAGTGAGTGAGTGAGTGAGTTGGGTTTAACGCCGCTTTTAACAGTATTCCAGTTATACCACGGCGTGTCAGCTTAATGTCGGAGGAAAGCCCGAAGTGATGCAGGTCTCAGACGTTTTCCACGGGTATGGTGCTGACAAACCTAGAAACATAATTGGGGCGAACCGGGATTCGAACCCACAATCATAGGTTTCTGGCGTGCCCAAGGGACGCAACTCTGCACAGCGAATCGCGGCGCCTTAGGCGACTGGGCCAACCGTGCCCCCCAGTTGAAAATAGCTTAAGTTAATGATATTATAAGTAAAATATGAATTGTACTGGCGTTTAGTCGGCTCTCAAAAATACTTCCACATGGTTTTATTTTTTAAAAATATCATTTGATTAAAAAACGTCGCCTCATACACAGCCTCTGATGGGTATCTTGGACACATTATGTTTGAGAAATAATAAATAAGCTTTTTTCGGCCAAACATTTCAAAAATCGTAGATGTCACGTGGTTGCAAATTCATTTCTTACCCAGTCTTCATTGAACCAATTTATTTATCCACAAAACTACCAATAAACAGATTGCATTTTACTAACTGTTGCAGGAATGTGTGATGGTTAAAAAGACATAATCAAATTTAAGAACAACTCTTTCAAATTTCAATTACACAATACACAAACTCGGTACACTTTGTTTTATCCCGCTCAGTATATTACCTCTCATAAACAACTGCAACACTATTAGTCCCGACAAGCCTGTACGATGACAGTGAACTGGAATACAGGCGAACGTCATAGAAGAATCGACGGCCTCCGTGATCTAGTGGTAGAGCGTCCGGGTTCGATCCCCTGCCGCGTCATACCAAAAGACGTTAAAAGATGGTACTTGTTGTTACCCTGTCTGGCGCTCGGCATTAAGGGGCTGAAACAAGGACTGGTCGGCTCGGAGTCAGTATACTGTGTCTGAGTGGGGTATTCATGTTAAACTGCGGCATGGTATCTCAGTGTGCTAGCACTAAAAATCGGCATCAGTCCGGGCTAGCACAAGCAGCCACACAAACACACACACGTACATGCACGTCGCTATATAAGTGCAATAATCTTGGACGCGACGTTAAACCCCATTTCACCTCACCTCACCTGAGCACAATGACTCTCGTGAGAAGATATATTTTTGGATATTCATGGACACACTTTCATCACGATAAAGACCCGTTGTTTGTGAGCAGCATGTTCGTGTAAGTCGGTGACTTTAAAGCGGTAAAGACCCATGAAGATCCGGGTTAGACTAGGTCTTCGGGAACCCATGTTTGCAGGTGAAAGGCGACTAACGGGACCAGATGGTCAGACTCGATGACTTGGTTGATGCGTGGATCGATGCTCATGATGTCAATCACTGGATTGTCTGGTCCAGACTCGATTATTTTTCAGACCGCCCTCATATAGCTGAAATATTGCTGAAAGCGGTGTTAAACAACAACAATGAAACAAAGCATTGCCGAAAGATCTTTTTCGACAACGGGCGAGCTTGACCTTCGGCACAACAAGCAGGCTTTCATTATCTGATCTCAGTGCTCAGGTTGGAACACGGGGCTGTAGCCTTTTGCACAGACGACCGCCTCCGTGGTCTAGTGGTAGAGCGTCCGCACGGAGAGCGGAAGGTCCAGGGTTCGATCCCCGGCCGCGTCATACCAAAAGACGTTAAAAGATGGTACTTGTTGTTACCCTGTCTGGCGCTCGGCATTAAGGGGCTAAAACAAGGACCGGTCGACTCGGAGTCAGTATACTGTGTCTGAGTGGGGTATCCATGTTAAACTGCGGCATGGTATCTCAGTGTGCTAGCACTATAAATCGGCATCAGTCCGGACTAGTACAAGCAGCCACACACACACACGTGCATGCACGTCGCTATATAAGTGCAATAATCTTGGACGCGACGTTAAACCCCATTTCACCTCACCACGTTTTGCACAGGTGTTGTGCCGTATTTGAGAAGCACTGGTTTGAGGCTGGATCTATTGTTATCGTGAGCCAATAAAGTTCCTTGTGAGTAGGCTCTTGCAATAGTGAATATGTGATATGACTTAAGACAGGGGTAGATTCTAGAATTTTACCCACGATCTGATCATCCCGATATTGCGTACCTGCATATAGCATACGCGTGATATCTACCTGATGTGCTTGTACGTGCTCACATCGGAATCAATAATAACACCCATGAAACCATGAGTATACACATGAAAATAATTACTCTGTTATAGCCACAATTTTCTTTCTCGTTAATCAGTTCACATGGAGCACAATCCTTCAGAAAATATTGCTTTTACAGTGTATAAAATATTAACGGGGGTTTAATGATATTGAGGTGGTCGTCAACACAAAAAAAGACTTCGGTGAAACCGAAAATGAAAATGAAAACATTTCCATTTTACAAGATACTTATATGTGCTTTTATTTGACAAAACCTTATTTTTAATACCCAATCTAAGAAAGCAAATGTTACAGGAATGAAACACTGATGCAAATTAATCTGTTTTAATGTTTTATGTTGTTTTGTCTCTCATAATCGCCAAATGTCAATTTAAATGTTGTACAGAAGTTAGATATAAATAAATTATTGTCGGTCTATGAAATTAATGCCAACAAAAACGTGTGTGTGTGTGTATGTGTGTGTGTGTGTATGTGTGTGTGTGTGTGTTTGTGTGTGTGATGGGGGGAGGGGGACCTAAACTAGCACGTCAACGTCCACCCCAACGGGACTGGTTTATAAGTTTACAGTTGTCATGGCATAGTATGATACGCACAAACCTGCGTATATCATGTAGTTGACAGTTATAATATTAAGATATGTATCTATTTGTGATCCGCAAATTTTATACAGTTTTACAATCCCAGAACATTAGATTTACGTGTAATTGCATTATAGCATGAAGCACACTTACACGGGAATATGTTCCCGATACGCTTCACATCCTCCTAAACACGACCCTCGCTCTTTGCGCTTTTCACGTGCAGCTGTTGGGTCGCTCCGTCTTCAAACGTTTGAGAAGACGACACCAGTGAGCAGACGTGTCAATTTCATAGACGTGTTGTGAATGGAAGATACAGTGTTTTAACTTTCACCACGAACTACAGTTTCATTTGGGCAATACACATCCTTTAGATCCATCTCACATTTTCTCTGAGGAGCATCGTTGGTTGGGAGGATGCAAAAGAACTACTTTCCCAGTCTGGTTTCTCTGATTCTTCCAAAGTCATGGAGTGGCGCTGGTGTCAATACCAGAATGTTGGATACACGTACTGGGGTGCTGTTCAGCAGAAAAGGCACAAGGAAAAGTAAGTGAAGTTTGATTTTCGTGGAAAGCATTCGGGATCACAGACGTGAAAGCTGCGTTTTGGCAACCCATTATAACCATAGTTGTCACTTTTTGGCCGTAAACATTAAATTGGATACATACCTTGTCAAACACGACATACCTTCATAAGTGCATTGATTTTGCAATGGGAACTTCCATGAATTATTTTCATGAGGTGACGTTTCTTTTGCGGTTCCGTAGCAAGCACCTAACAGGTTGGGGAAACCCACGAAACGGGCTATAAAAGCCAATTCGGGCCAGAATAGCCCAATCGGGCTATATGTGGATAGCCCAATTGGGCTATACGAGAACGTTTTCGGAATTGAGAGCGGACCCCCAAAAATACCGCATTTGCGATACCCCATCAGCACATCGACTGACATTAACCACCTATGAAAATAAGGGGAAAAAACACAAAAACACACATCGTTCAAGAGGTACATATTCACAAATATACATACCCAACATGCTCAAAGACTTTCAGACAGCCATAACGGGAACAAAACTGAGTAAAAATGTTGCAAAAGTCACGCTGCCATCAGCAGGGCACTGTCTCCTCGGCAATGTGTGCGTACTACGTCAGCGACTGATCGCGGACGATGAAAATCGGGAAACAACTGAAAATGAAAGAAAGAAAACCCTATGGTATGGAAACACGTTAGGGACATAATACCATAAATGAAAGTTGTTATGTGAAAACAGCATGATTTGAACATGGAAAGACACGATGTTATGCCACGTAAACGCATGTAATTGGTTCCGTAATTCTAAACAACCCACAAAACAGTATAAAAGCGGATAATGAAAATATCATATACACCAGTTCGTGGAATATGAATGATGGGCGATGTCAGCGATACAGGGGAAGAGGTAAATATAATTTAAAACATCATGGAAATGTTAGTATAAATCGATTAAGTATTGTAACAACAATAAGTGAAAAATAAATAATGCACATAACAAATAACTAAGACATTAATGATACCAAGACCAAAAAATGTCGTAAAAGCACTAATATATTCCATATATTCACAGTACGTTTTCAAAAAGAAAAGAAAAACCAACCAATCAGCAAGTGAAGGGGCAGGATGCAGCCAGCAAGGTACACCATACAGGCCAAATCCCCATTGAATACAAGATGAATGCCAAGGCTAGGAGTGGGAGTCAGTCAAAGCGGCCGACAACACTGTATA